AATATATATATATATATATATATATATATATATATATATATATATATATATATATATATATATATATATATATATAAACAAAAGTTTTTGAAAGACTAAACTAGTAGTAGAGACAATATTTAAATAAAAATTAATGAGACATAAAAACTCCCACCAAACATGATCCATGCAGTCTAACTCTAACTCGGTGGTAAGCATTGCATTGGCAAATTGCAACCAATAAAGCGGTGTTGGAACCATATCAATCAATGCATATCTACTACCGTTAAAGGTTGTCACTTTTAGGGGATTTAATATATATCAATCATGTGACATTTCTTATTCATAAGAAAGCAAAAAAGTAGAGTGAATAATACATACTACCTCCCTCCCGTGAAACATTTCCATTTTCTTTTTTTATCCGTCTCACAAAACACTTCTCATTTTTATTAAAAAGTCACTTTTACCCCTTACTTTTTCATACCCTAACTATCACATCATACCTTTTTACTAATAATCTATCCATCAAATCATACTTTTACCCATCACATCAAAGGACATTTTTGAAAATTCAATACCAAAATACACTCCCTTAAATCCCTTCTAAAAAGCAAATGTCCCATGTTTCACGGGACGGAGGTAGTATTTTAAATAAAACACATATTCTAGAAAAATATATTGGGAGAAACTATACTAAATACATATTTTATTCTTTGCTACTAATTTGTAGTTTAAATCAATTTATTTCTTCTCAATGACTGTCCAATTGAATTTAAAGGAACTCTTGGAGATGAAGCTCATCCTTTATTTATTTAAAAGATTATAATAATGTCACTCAGCCACAAGATTTCTAGTTCTTTCATATAAGAAGAATTTCAATTATTAATTAAATAAAAATAATGTTACTTATTAATATAAGCGATAAGTTTTCATAAGATAATTTTAATTGATTTAATTTTTTTAATTAATGTATAATGAAACTTATATTTAATTTGAGCAAATTTGTCCAATTTGATACGGAGTACTATAGTAAAGAACAAAACTAGACGAACACATAGAGAAAAATGATACTCCGAATTACTCCATCCGTTACAAAATACTCGTAACTAATACTCCCTCCGTCCTAGAGTATTTGTCCGCTTTCATTTTTACACATCATACAATGCACTTCTTTAATCCACTTTATCTTATAATTTGTATATTAAAAAATTATAGAAATTATATATTAATAATCTATATGTTAAGACAAATGAATGAGTATCATCAATTTTGTTCTTATGGGTAGAAATCATCAATCTTGTGAACAGAGCATTGGAAGAGTTGCAACTGAACGAGTGTCATCCATTGACACTAATTACAATTAACTCAGACTCGAAATAACTCTCACATTTTGGCCACTTTTAAAAATCTCTAATTTATATACCAACTAGTAATAAAATTGACCAATACAGGACATCAAAGAGAACCTTAATTAAGGGACAATTATTTGAATAAGCCCACACTTTTTGGCACTACAAATTTGATTAGTACAGAACCTAACTTTCCTTGTACATTATTTGTAATCTGCTTCCCTTGCAAAGATTATGGTGTGTGGAAATGAGCTAGATAAATACTTATTTTTCAAACCCAGAATTTTTTTTAAAGAATCAGTACAAGGAATTGTAAGTACAACAGGTGGCAACAATGGATGCAACACAAATGACAAGTGATGGAAGCAGTGTGGCATTTAAGAGTCTGCTCTGCCCCAAATAACCGGCAGCCGTTATGGTTCCGTCGGCAACGACCCGGGCTATCGTGCCGGCCTCCGTCGACAGGAGCCCACCGTTGTACGTCCCGCGAGAAAGACGGGACGACATGACTCGGGAGAGGAGGGACAAGTTCACCCCTACATTCCAAAACAAAAAAAAAAGCAAAAAATCATGTGTCGGTCAATTGTCTCGTGGAGAATGTCACGTTGACCAAGTCAAAGTTGTGGGCACTTGTGTGTTGAATGCAGTATAAAGTTAGGGTATGCGCAAATCCTAACACCGATTGTTTTTTGGAGACTTGGTGGCACCTGAGGTCCTACAATTGATGATAGAGCCAAGTTCACGAGTTTGATTCTTAGGGAGGAAATTGTTAATCATGTGGTGAAGGCCAAGTTACAGTCGAATGTTGTGACTGAATGCTTGTGGGCTGAATGCACTATAAGACTAGGGTATGTGTACTTCCTAGCACCAAGGATATTTAGTAGGGCAGGAGGTCCTACAATTGGTATCAAAGCCAAGTGTACACGTTCGAATCTCCGGGAGGAGTAATTGCTTGCTTATGGGGAAATTGTTGGGCATGTGTTCATCAATGGTCTTTTAGCGGAGACGAGGTGGCCAGGTCAAGGCCGAATGTCGTGAGACAATGTACGTTGAACGCGTTATAAGCGTAGGGTATGCGCATTTCCTAACACCAATTAGTTGTAGGAAAATTCGTAGGACCTGGTGTCCTACAAATTGAACATACTTTTTCTATCCCTGCCCCTGTCTACATGTCCAATTTTATTGAATGTTCAATACAACTAAAGACTGCACAATCATTTGGAAGAAACAGAAGATAAAAATTACCTTCCAAAACCTCTGCAGACACAAACATTATCAGCCCAGAGATGACATACTGTGGCACAGAATATGGCACCATTACTTGAAAGCTGAGGAGTATTCCAAAGAAAACCACAATCTCAGATGCCAGCAAAATTTGCCTGCATTGCACGATTAAAACGAAAAACAGTTAAATTTTAATATTTACAACTCAGCGAAAAATACCTACTTCTTCCATATCCATCGTCCTCTCTCAGGTATGTATTTCTCTACTCTCCATGTCCTTAGTCTTAGCTGCTTCAATTTCCAACCTTATCAAATATTCTCAATCAGAAACTATATATATGTATGTATGTATCGGGTCAATTGTCTGGACATGAAACACAATTTGTAGATGTTTTTATACAATTTAGATCTATGATCGAAAGTTCGAAGTTTTGTTTGAAACATTCACGAGTCTACAACACCTATTTCAGAAAACTTGAAACCCAATAGACAATAGTACCTTCACTATTCTATTTTAAAGAACTCACCCTAAAAGCAAGAGAGAATAATAGGAATCAAACCCTTATTTCCTTGAAAATGAGGGCTTAATTTTGGGATTAAGGAAGCAAATGTTAGGAACTTATCATTATTTGTGATTGTGTAGTATTAGAATTTTATTGAATATAATATGGATGGTGATTATGCCTCAAGTAATTTGGGGAGTTGGAATAACTGTAACACCCCAACCCGCATGACCCAAACCCGTGAGACAGCGGACCGGTGTGCCACTGAATTAGTATCCGAATTTGCGACATTTTCAGAACAATTTTAAACAAACGTTCTTTCAATACATATAAAAATCCATCGGAGTAATTTAAAATAATGCGGAAGCCTTTTTAAAGTCAAACAACTTGGGATCTTGCCCGAAAACGTAATAAGCATTAAAGTTAATTAAATAAAGCATAATCAACAGATTAAAGAGACAGCCACGCCATCGTACATCTCCTCCTCAATGCCCTCTGGGATCGGCTTTAGGTTCATCTGTCTGTTCACCTACGGACAGCAAAAAGGAAAACAACGCTATCCGCTCAGCATTGACGCTGAGTGGTACTCCATTGTAGCACAAGAATAAATATAATAATTCAACAATTAAGATCGTGCATATGTTTATCCTTTTAATAAAAATCAATTCAACTTTACATTCGGTTCTTTAGACGGTTGACCAACAGTCAACTNGACCTAACCCAAGTCAAAGTCAAACCTGTTCAGTCAATTCACAATCCTCAACAATTCAATTCAAACAATCAATTTAATTCAATTAACCAATTTAGCCAAATTATAGCATAAACACATATAACGATCCAAACCATTAAATCTATTCTGAATGCTATTAACTTCATAGTACGGACCTGGATTACGCCGAAATCGAATCGATAGCTCGAACGGAAGGCAAATCAACGAAATCAAACGAACGGGTCAAATCGAGTCAAAATACGAAATCGACCAATCAATCCGGCGTGGAGGTTAATCTGCCGGCGATATCAACTCGGGGCAGCGGCCGGATGCGGCGACGGTGACGGACGCCGGCGACAGTGGCGGAGCAGCAACTCGACGGCGATGAGCAGCGACTGACGGCGCTGCAATCGACGGCGGTGGACGACCGACGAAGGCGAAACAGCGGCGTTGCACTCGACGGCGAGGATGGCCGCTGTGCAAAGGGCGACGGCGGCGCTCGTTTCCGGCGAAGGCGAAGCAGCAGCTGGAAGCTCGGCGACGGCGGCTGGAGGCTCGGCGACGCTGAGCGGCGGCTACTGGCGAAGGAAGTAGCGGCGGCGCTGCAATCGACGGCGGCGATGAGCGGCGACGCCGGCGGCTGGCTGCTCCAGTTGGACGGCGACGACCGGCGGCTAGCTCACGGCGGCGCTGCACCAGTCGGCGATGATGGCGGCGAGGCTGGGGAAGGGAGACTAAGAAGAAAGAAGAAGAAGGAGAAGAAAAAGAAGAAGAAGAAGAAAGAAGAAGAAAGAAAAATGGACGAAGATAGGATAAGGTTTGTGTGGTTTTATTTAATGGTCCCATTCCAAAAAGGATTGGGCTTCGGACCCAAAATACCAGATTAAATGGTCATAACTTGAGTTCCATAACTTCGATTCGCGAGCCGTCTGAACCGACGCGATCACAAAAATATTTCCTACGAGATGACATAAAAGTTGGGCTTAAAATCCAAATTATAATTTTAACCCCTTATTGGGCCCAATTCGTAATCAATTGCTCTAACAATTTAATTAATTCTTTTGGGCCAAGTTTCGGGGCGTTACAATAACACTCCCCTTTTATTACTTTCAAACCATCCTTTGATCATTAGCATCTAACTCAAACACATTGCAGAGCTGCAAACTATCTTTGGAATCAGTGAATAAAGAATATCAGTGTAAGCCTGCTCTATTGATCAAAGAACCATTACAGGTTTAAACTTGAGTGAGCCTTCAGCAATGGCTAAGGCAAAAGCCACTACGGTTAAAGATGTTGTTCACAAGCTGCAACTTTGTCTTCTGGATGGCATTCAAGATGAGAGTAAACTCTTTGCTGCTGGATCTTTGATGTCTCGTAGTGATTACCAAGATGTTGTGACTGAAAGATTACCAAGATGTTGTGACTGAAAGACTACCAAGATTACCAAGATGTTGACGATGAGTATAGCATTTCAAAGTTACCAAGTACCTCAACAACTCTTTTGAATGATTCTGCCACTGAACCAAGTGAAATAAGAAGGCATGGGAACAAAGATGATCAAATTGCCGCATTAGAAAAACAGGTCGGTTTTTTGCAAATCCATAACAATATTGATGAACCAGAGCAGTCTACCAAAAGGAATGGTAGGACTTTCAAGGATGAGAACAGCATTACAGAGGCATCTACACATCCTTCCAACAATAGTCTCAATGTGGATGGAATCAGGACAGGAAATACATTGGATAGTGGAAATAATGATGTATCAAATACTACTACATTAAAATCTTCTCTGAAGCCATCATATGCGAAGAAAGAAACCCGTTCAGTAACTTGGGCAGACGAGAAGACTGATCTTAGTAGCAGAAGAATCATTCTCAGCGATTCTGGAGAACCAAAGAATCTCCAAAGTGTGTCTGGGGAACTAGAGTCAACAAGTACGGAGAAGGATGACGATTCATATCGCTTTGCATCTGCAGAAGCCTGTGCAGCAGCATTGAGTGAAGCAGCAGAAGCTGTTGTCTCGGGCTGTGATGTCTCCTCTGCTGGTAAGGCTTCATTGGTTCTTATGTGAGATTTTTGGAGTTTACTCCTGATTGTTTTTTTTTGCGTAAGTTACGTCACCAGTATTAATTTATGCATTAAGCTCTTACTCCCAACATTGTATAGTATCTGAAGCTGGGATTATTATAATGCCACCACCACAAGAAATGGATGAAGTGGATTCTGGGGAGGATGATGGAACGCTTGATGTAGAGCCACATTTGCAAAAATGGCCAACAAAGACAAAGATGCCAAATTATGATTTGTTTGAATCTAAAGATTCTCTTTATGACATTCCACCAGAGGGGTTTAGTTTGTCTGTAAGCTGATTTTAAAAATGGGTTTTCTCTATTTTCATTTTCTTTTTCATAGCTACAACACTTCTTTGATCTGGAAGGTGTTTTCTTTTTATTTGATATCTTATGCATGATATATGATTCATTTCAGTTGTCACCATTTTCAACAATGTTTATGGCACTCTTTGCATGGATATCATCACCATCCTTGGCCTTTATATATGGGCGTGATGAAAGTGACCATGAAGAATATTCATCTATTAACGGGCAAGAATATCCACGCAAGATTGTACTCTCAGATGGACGCTCAATTGAAATTAGGCAAACTCTTGCTCGCTGTCTCTCACGGGCCTTGCCTGGCGTGGTGGCTGATCTTAGGCTCCGTATACCGATATCAACCTTGGAAAAGGAAATGGTACTGATTATTCCCTCTCCCCCACTGCCACCACCTTAACGACTGTCTAAGTTCTAACAACTTTTGCTACATCATTATTCAATCAAACCCGAATTTACATTGGCGTGGCATAGAACCAAAGTTGAAGTTTTATGTTTACAATGTGCATTTGTTGAATCCTAAGTTTTTTTTTGAAAAAGCAAACATTATGGTTTACTCATTTCCTAGATTCGGTTTTTTGTTCACAAATAGGTTCAAGAAGAAGCTGGTGTAAGTGCTGAAGAGTACAAGATCATGAAGGATCTCATTATTCCACTAGGCCGAGTACCTCAATTCACGATGCAGAGTGGAGCATAAAGCTTTACGCCAAGAATTCATCAATCTCTTGACGAGAAATGTTGTGTTCGTGCTCATAAGATATCATTTCAAGGCATTTCTAAAAGATTAATCATAGGCACATCTCATGGGTTTTGACTGAAATGTGGCCTATAGGAATATGTAATTACTGGGAGTAGCACGGTTTTGTGTGTGAAGTTGTTCGAATGGCGGAAAATTTTCTTGTGCCAATATGTTATGAAAAAATGGACTTATTATGAACTCCAAAGTCAATGTGTGGCACCAAATTATACTCCAAAACCATATTGCTGAATTGGCTGTGATTCTTTTACTGTTTTTTTCTTGATCTGAAGCGGATTTACTCTTACAAGTAGTTGTACCTAACAATGACTGATTTCGGCGAGTTGCTTGGTACGTGTGAAATTGTTGAATATTTTTAATCGTCATGGGATGACCCGAGGTGCTCTAGTGTCTCGTTCGTAAAATTGATGGTTCTTACCTCTTCTAATCCCCTCGGTGAACCCCCCACCCTGCCCAATCCGAACATACCTCCACCCGCTTTAATTGCACCCCCAAGTTAATTTTGACTTTGGAGTCAAACTTTGACTCCAAAGTCAAAATTAACTTGAAGGTGCAATTGAAAGGGTGGGGGTGTGTTGTGGAGAGCCTATTGAAAATGCTCTTTCCGTTTCAAATTAAACTACATGTTTACTATTTACAAAATCAAACTTCTTTCTTTCCTTATTTTTGTTAGCCATTCAATAAAATAATATAATCATGTCACCACTAATTTTGTAGGCCTTTTGATGTGGTTTTTAAATATGAAATTTTTATTTTTTTTTAATTTTACATCATTTTTTATATAAAATAATTTGAAAATAACTTCAATGAAACAACGTAAACCAAAACATGCAATTTAAATTAGAATAAAGGGAGTAGACCTGATCAAAGTGCAGGCTGGGCCAAGTTTCGAGTCAGGCCGATACGCTACATTATGAGAATTTTCTAGGTCTGAGCCCAGCTCGTATAGCAGGCCTAAAAATTGAAGCCCGGCCGCATGGATATTTGCGGGCTTTCAGGCCAATCTAGTTTGCACAATAAAAACTTCTAAATAATTAAAAAAGAATTATTTAAAATAAAGTAGTGGGTCAATATATATTAGATGTTTGATTAATAACTATAATGAGTAAATGAAAGAATAACTAATATATTAAATGTGTTTTGTTTGATATTGCTACTACTTAGCAAGTATGAAGTATTATTTATTGAAATACCATTATCAATGTGTGACATGTTGTAAACAATATGTAGTACTCCGTAATAAAGATGTATTCATTTTATTAAATATAGGAATTTACTTTTTTCTGCATAGAAGTATGTATGTGTGTTTATAATAATTTGAAATAGTATTATTCTTTTTTTATTATTTTATTATTATTATTATTATTAATATTTTATAATAATAATAATAATAACGCCGAGGCTATGGCCGGGCCGTGGCTTGAGCATAAAATCCTAACCCGACCCGTACTCTAAAATGTCAAGTCCAAACCACTATCTTGCAAGCGAGTCGGATATCCGGGCCCGTGGTCAGGGGTCTAGGATGGAGTAAGAGAGTACTTTTTCTCTAAGAAAGAATCCCAACACATAAGTTTTTTGTTAGAACTTTATACTTTGAATAAGAGAAAAGCTTTTGGACTTTGGAGATGTAAATTGGTAAAATTTTCATTCTTTTAATTTTTTATTTTGTTAGGTGAAAATACTTCATTTTTATCTTGCTTTTTTCCTAAGTAACATTATTCTTTAAAAAAATGAAGGCAAAGAAGGAACAATGGTTCCTATTCCCGTCAAACGTTTAACGCATTCAGGGTGACGCCCTAATAACGCCGCAGGGGGCGGTGTTTGACGCTGTTCTGGCGTTAAACATTTGGTTACGTCCCCCAGCATCACCCCATTTCTATTGCTCTCAAACCAAATGAAAGTGTGGGTAACTTTCTATTTTAACAAGAGACAAATGCCCGCATCTTAGAAATTAAAATACATGTTAAAACAATAAACACCCAATCTGTCCAAAGAAAGCCGGGGTGACTAGTCACTTGCATTAACATTAATCATTATAATTAAGGAATGGTTCGCATTAATACTCCCAAATGTGACCAATTATGCAATACTACTCCAATATTCTCTTTTAACCACTAAAATTCCCAGAAATCATTATTTCCCCATCAACTCAAATTTGATCCGGCATCCGAAGATTCAAACTCTTGATTGATGTAAACCCGCCGTCCACCACCAGATTCTGTCCGCTGATGTACTTGGCGTCATCGGAAGCCAGAAAAACGGCGGCGTTCGCGACGTCGCCGGGCTCACAGTGAGCCCCCTCCAGCGCCCCGGACTCGTGCAGCATTCCGGCGAGGACCCCGTCGTCAGCGCCCGGAAAGTATTCCTTCATTTCCGGGAGAGAGAAGGCCGTCGGAAGGGCAAAAGGGGAAATGCAATTGATCCTAATCCCGTGCCTGCAGAGCTCGGCCGTGGCGGATCTCACGATTCCGACCACCGCGGACTTCGAGATGCTGTAGGTGTGCTGGGCCAACCCCCCCAGCACCCCCGTCACGCTCCCGGTGCAGAGTATGCACCCGAAGCGGCGGGGGATCATGACGCGGGCGGCGTGCTTGATTCCCGCCACCACGCCGCGGGCGTTGACCGACATTACTCGGTCAAAGTCTGCCATGTCGAGGTCAACCACGCTGAGTGGGGTCCGGCACGGGATGCCGGCGTTGTTGTACATGATGTCGAGGCGGCCGTGGAGGGACACCGCGAAGTCCACGGCGGCGGAGACGTGTGACTCGTTGGAGACGTCGCAGGCCACGAAGGCGGCGTTTTCGCCGAGCTCGGCGGCGGCGTCCCTCCCGGCCTGCTCTTGGATGTCGGCGATCACCACTTTGGCGCCGTGGGTGATGAACTTTGCTGCGGTTTCTTTCCCTATGCCACTGGCTGCCCCCGTGATCAGCGCCACCTTCCCTTCCAGCTTCCTCCTCTGTGTTGTCAGGACCGAGAGTTTCCGATCGAATGCTCGAGCAAGAAATGACCTTGAGACGGCCGAGACATCTCTGGGAATGATGAGCTTGAGCATGTTTTTAATTACTCGCAGCTCTTTGGGAGAAAAGTACCTAAATAGGGGTAAGAGATAAGTTATGCTAAAGTACCCTCAAATCAAGTAGGACAAGTGTCTTATAAAGCATGTCCTATCCTCTATACCATTACACATTTTGGCAACAAATCTCCTTCATAAACTCATCATGCCCCTGGAAAAAGGCTTCATTGTTATGGGGAGGCAAGGGAAAATATCATTGGGCATCTTGGAATTAAAAAAGGCTTATTACAACATTAACTGGTGTTGGACCTATCAAAAAAACTCATTTCTTTAGGCAAATTTCATGAGGGCTAGAAAGGTTAGATACCCTAAACATGGAGACATAGACATGCGTCTCTTCAACATATTTTTATTACTCATTAAGGGTCCGTTTGGTACACAGAATTGATAGGATTGGAATTGAATTGAAATTGAAATTCCATATGATTCGATTCCATAGAATTGAATTCACCATTTTCAATTCATTTTTTACACTACCAATTCTAAATCCACATAATTGTTGTGCTATCAAACACCAAAATTGGAATTAAAATCCTCAATTCTAATTCTATAGTTTGAATTTTGTGTACCAAACGGGGCCTAAATATTGGAATCAGAGCATACCACATCAGAAACAGCTTTAGATATAACTACAATCAGATCAGACCTTAACAAAACCAGATCAGACAACACGAGAACAAGCTCATAGTACCCAAAAGTAGCTTTCTTCCAATGGATGAGACTCTGTCTGCTTATTCCCTTTCCAGAGAAATTGACCCATGCTTTTGGCAATAATACCCCTAAACCCCATGAATCTTAACTTCTTAGGAGGACACTGTTCAACAAATGTTCATAAGAATCCAACTACACAAGAGACGGATTTGGGGCTAATTTGAGGGGAAATTGACCTAGAAGAATAAGTCAAGAAACACACAGAAGAAGCTACCTGGAATGATCGTCTTCACGATCTGGTGTGAACAGAGACCTTAGCTTAGCTTGCTCTGAAGATGGAAAGAAGAAGGCGTTGGCGGCGAGAGTGAGTGAGTGAAGGAGAGCTAATAATAGAAAGAGCCGGACTGATCAGACCACATCCCGGACTTTGACTTAATATTCTTTCTTAGTTTGTCACATCACATCACATTTTAACTCCAAAGTAATCTTATTGTCCTAATTTAAGTCACATGTTTAGATTTACCATTTTTGAATAAAATTATTTTCAAATCACAAGCTTATCATATGTGTTTAAAGATATGAAAAATTATTTTCAAATCACAAGCTTATCATAGTAGCATGAATGCAATGTAAATTATTAAGACCATTTGTGTAACAAAAATGGAACCCAACCATTAAGTGTTATTTCCCACTGGAAGACAGTGATTGGGACCAAGTCAAGCCATTTTGTACCAAGTACTCATAAAAGAGCTTCTAAAGGAGAAATAAAGATCCGAGGCCATCATACAAAATTGTTCTTTAGAGCTCCCCCGCTAAAATCTTTCATCTAAAGCCAAAACTTAGTAGACAGATCAACTACATAGAGCAGTATTACAAAGCAGTAGCACCATTAAACAACCAACTTTAGTTTATCACAGAAACAATAAAATAAAAGAGCAAAAACAGAAAATACAATAGCGTAAGTCATAAAAAATTAAAAGAGCCAATAACCTCGATTATAGAAGCACTTTACATTTTCTCATTTGTTCTAAATAGCTTATGAACAAGTGCTTAGCTCTTCCTGAACAAGTGGTTGAAAAGGATCTCTTACATTCTTTTTAAAGACAAATTTTGACTAATAAAGTAAACACGAGTATAATATTCTATAACACTCTACAACATAAATTAATCACTGTTAAGTAATTAGCAATAGTAAGAATCTAACAGAAAGAAGAAGCAAAACTAAATTTTTTTACTTGAATAAATCATGGTGTGACAGTGGACTCCAACAAGTACTTAGAGCTGAGTGTGTAATTAAAATTTTCTCAACAGTTAATGTTATATTTTCCACGTTTTGTATATTCAATGTATAAAGTACGCTGTTAAATGTCAATTTTGTAGTAGTGTAAATTTTAGAATAACATGAGGAGCATTTACAGGGATAGTCACAATATCGGGGGAGTCATTTCCAGGGGTCATAATAGAGCAGAAAGAGCATCATCTAGAAGCCCCCTTAAGTCTTCATAAAGATTTCTCATAGTTTTTATGAAGTTTAATATATTTATTTAGCATAAGTACTAAGAGTGACAATGGTTATTTTAGTTGAGCTTTTAAAGTAGTAGAATAATACAAAGTAACTTGTAGCTAAAATCAACAATCACTGGCATTAGATGCAAAGCACATATAAGAGAAAAAACATTTTTTAAAGTCGGAAAAATTTTGATAAGCAAGAGTAGACTTTTTTAAAGAGTAATAAATACCTGTTAGAGTCACTATCATCAATAACAAGCTGTAGAACACATTTATTAGTTATCGAGTTGTGTAGACTTTTGACACCTGAGGAGAAGATCAAATGCAAGATTCACTATTTATGGATTTTAGAAATATATCAATTAGAGAAATGTATCAACCATTGTGCAACAAAGCTACTTTCTGAATCTAACCACCTTTTCATAAAGTGCGATGTATAAAAGTGCTCAAACCATAGCTGTGAAGTAGATCTTGCCTACAAATTAAAGACAAGACACAGAAATTTGCAAACTTTTTAATGATATCCAACCACCTGAAAGACAGTGAAAATAAAAATAAAGAGCAGAAAACATGTCATTTATATTACACTCAACTTAAGGAGTCATAATTCTTCTTTGGTAATCAACTAATTCCTCAACTCTCTGTTTGTTTTCTTTTCTCATATCAATATTCATTTTAATTTCTAGTAGACCCTTTAATCAATAATTTTCGTAAGAGAATGCAGCACGTACACACCAACAAACTCGATCATTGTAAGCATTAACTTGTAATGAGATTGAAGGGGTACTTTATCTTTAACATTGAACCGATGACTACAAGAAATAATTTTGTTAATAATGGCTGTTATAGTATACATGAACTAACTGTCATTTCAGGCTAGAGTTGAGTTTTCAAAGTAATGTCTTTCAATTCAGAAAAGTTTGGTTCTACATAAAATTCACAACCAATTAAATGTAAGGTTTACTATATAATGTCTTTCAAATGCAACCTGTTTAATCCGAAAAGCCCATTGGAAGTGTACTTTCCAAAAAAGTACTGATGACCAATCCATTCTACCAAAGAAGAATGAAAAACTCAACTTGATTGCTAGCAAGCCATTGTACTTATTAGCACAAGCCATCAGAGTAGGCCATATTAAATATCAATGTGATTGAAAACACGAGCATTTGAAATACTTAAAGTGCTACGTAGGAACCTAATGTTTATACTCATTTGTTGAAATGTTGCAAATAAAATAGTGCAATATACCAGATCAAGGGAGATATATTAGACTCACTTATCAAAATAAAACATATAAAAGTAAATGCCGCTATTATAAACAAGATATGCATCTCAAATTCAATAATAGTCAAAACCATCCTAGATTATTAAGTCCATGTAAAAGTTGGAACGATTTCCCAATGAAAGTGCATGAAGAATCTGATAGAGTTGATATGCAAAATTAGAACACATCCCACAAATTGACAAGTTTCAATCAACACCAGATTACTATTCTTTTTTAGACTTAAAAATTAAATCTCAAATTGACAAATTCCAACAATAAATTATCATTATATAAAATAATTATAATATAATAAACTATTTATCAAATATCAAATATCAAAGTATCCAATAAATCAAATATACACAAATTTTGCAAAACAAAATCAATAACCAAAATTTCACAAAACCCTAAAAATTGGAATTCCAAAAAAGAGAGATGAAACTATAGGGACTATTCATCACGTACCTTAAATTAACAGTTTTTGTTGATTACATATGCTTCCATGCTTGATTGTAGATGCAACCACCACAAACCTGACACCTAATTTCTCCCGATTTTGAATTTGAATCCTCAAACTCTGGTGCACCTGTGCAGAGAGTCGAATGGGGTGGGTGTGCGAGCGTCTGGTTCACGATGGAGATCCGAAAATATAGATATTCCTATTGAGTAGAGAGACGCGATAAAAAAAATAAACAGCGAATATGTTAAAGTCCTATGGGTAAAAGTTTAAAAAATTAGATAGTTGGGTCTTTTTTTTTGTGAAATGTGTGGCTTACTTTTTTAACTAGTGTTTATCCCATGCCACGGGCTCGTATATATTCTAAACTTTTGAGATTTTATAAATATAATTTTAATTGTTTTAGTTTCTAATAGTGACAAAAAGTGTTTTAGGATGATGGAACATACAGAGCATATTGGTATGTTAAATTAAAAAAATAATTTTACAAAATTAATGATCATTGAATTAAGTACTAAATAGAAATGGTTTGAATTAGTAAAATATTATAATAAAAAGTGGATCAGTTACATGCATAATGATACATCATTAGAGAATATATATGTGTCATAATGTCATTTGTCAATTGTCACCCTTTAATTAAACCAACCTTATTCTATTCACTTTGTTGAAAAATATATGTAACAATAAAATAAATAATGTAGTAAGATAAATTTTTTGAAACAAAGTATTTATTTAATAAATATGCACATATGATTAAATTTATATAATCATTTTTCGAGAAGTAATAAACTAAAATAAGCTGTGGATAGTATAAAAATAATTTTATGTGTGTGTGTACTCAAAATACGGAGTTTATTTTACAATGGTGAAATATATATTCAGAATTATTAAAGAATGAAAAATTTTATACAAATGTATTAAAAGATATTTAAAATAAGTGCAATGCATATATCCACTTTATAAATGGGTGCACATGTGGATGCACATGTGTCATGCCACATGTCAACATTGCAACAACTAAATCTTTTACATACTCCCTTCGTCCCCCAAAGATCTTCCCAATAGCCCTTTTTTCTTTGTCCACAATAGATCTTCTCATTTCATTTTTTAACAATTAAAATACCACAACTACCCCCACTTGTTTTATTTATTACACCTCACCCATCTCATTTAATACACTCCACCCATTTTTCATTAAGGGTATTATGGTAAACTTTCACCTTTTTTCAACTCTCCTTAAAAACCACCAAAAGTCAAAATGAGAACATCTTAGGGGGACAAAGAGAGTATATATATAGGATAGGATATATAGGATATAGGATGGGTTTTACACAGCACTTTCCCTATAACTGATGTGTATGATGCGCCGTCTAATGTCAATTTTGTAGTAGTGAGAAGGCCGTCGGAAGGGCAAAAGGGGAAATACAATTGATCCTAATCCCGTGCATGCAGAGCTCGGCCGTGGCGGATCTCACGATTCCGACCACCGCGGACTTCGAGATGCTGTAGGTGTGCTGGGCCAACCCCCTAGCACCCCCGTCACGCTCCCGGTGCAGAGTATGCACCCGGAGCGGCGGGGGATCATGACACGGGTGGCGTGCTTGATTCCCTCCACCACGCCGCGGGCATTGACCCACATGACTCGGTCAAAGTCTGCCATGTCGAGGTCAACCACGCTGAGTGGGGTCCGGCACGGGATGCCGGCGTTGTTGTACATGATGTCGAGGCGGCCGTGGAGGGACACCGCGAGGTCCACGGCAGCGGAGACGTGTGACTCATTGGAGACGTCGCAGGCCACGAAGGCAGGGTTTTCGCCGAGCTCGGCGGCGGCGTCCCTCCCGGCCTGCTCTTGGATGTCGGCGATCACCACTTTGGCACCGTGGGTGATGAACTTTGCTGCGGTTTCTTTCCCTATGCCACTGGCTGCCCCCGTGATCAGCACCACCTTCCCTTCCAGCTTCTTCCTCTGTGTTGTCATGACCGAGAGTTTCTGATCGAATGCTCGAGCAAGAAATGACCTTGAGACGGCCGAGACATCTCTAGGAATGATGGGCTTGAGCATGTTTTTAATTACTCGCAGTTCTTTGGGAGAAAAGTACCTAAATAGGAGTAAGAGATAGATGAAATTACCATCATGTCCCTAAGAGATAAGTTATGCTAAAGTATCCTCAAATCAAGTAGGACAACTGTCTTATAAAGCATGTCCTATCCTCTATACCATTACACATTTTGGCAACAAATCTCCTTCATAAACCCATCATGCCCCTGGAAAAAGGCTTCATTGTTATGGGGAGGCAAGGGAAAATATCATTGGGCATCTTGGAATTAAAATAGGCTTATTACAACATTAACTGGTGTTGGACCTATCAAAAAAACTCATTTCTTTAGGAAAATTTCATGAGGGCTAGAAAGGTTAGATACCCTAAACATGGAGATATAGACATGCTTCTCTTCAATATATTTTTATTACTCATTAAGTATTGGAATCAGAGCAGACCACATCAGAAACAGCTCTAAATATAACTACAATCAGATCAGATATTAACAAAACCAGATCAGACCAGATTAGACAACACGAGAACAAGCTCATAGTACCCAAAAGTAGCTTTCTTCCAATGGAGAAGACTGTGTTTGCCTTCCCTTTCTAGAGAAACTGCCCATGCTTTTGGCAATAATACCCCTAAACCCCATGAATTTCAACTTCTTAAGAGGACACTGTTAAGCAAATGTTCATAAGAATCCAACTACACAAGAGACAGATTTGGGTCTAATTTGAGGGAAATTTCAGAAATCTAGAGAAATTGACCAAGAACTCTAGAAGGATATGTCAAGAAACACACAGAAGAAGCTACCTGGAATGATCCTCTTCACGATCTGGTGTGAACAGAGACCTTAGCTTAGCTTAGCTTACTTTGAAGATGGAAAGAAGATGGCGTCGGCGGCGAGAGAGAGTGAGTGAAGGAGAGCTAATAATAAAAAGAGCCGGACATATCGGACCACATCCCGGACTTTGACTTACTATTCTTTCTTAGTTTGTCACATCACATCACATTTTAACTCCAAAGTAATCCCATTCTCCTAATTTAACTACATGTTTAGATTTACCATTTTTAAATAAAATTATTTTCAAATCACAAGCTTATCATATGTGTTTAAAGATATGAAAAAGGCAATTGAAATAGCTAAAATAATAAATAACGAAGAATAAGACTGAGCGCAATGCTTTCCGCTCTTACAGTATAATTTATGTTGTCAATAATGTTAACATATAATACCAAAAAGTATTGTAAAATGTTACTCCGTAATATACAATTTCACATTATAAGAGTACAACGCCTTAATTTGGTAGATAAAAATATATCACTCTTGCATTAGAAATAAAAATATTTTACTCTTATTTTGAATGATTTTCTTAAAAACAGTTTTAGCGAGTATTTCAAAGATGTAAATGTGTTTTATGAGTTTTAAATAGTACTACGTACTTTTGATTGTGGGCAAGATCCAACGCAAACTTTTACATTTACTCATGATATTGGTATAATACACCACAAGAGAAAACCACACCTTAAAATGTAGTTACTAAGGTGGAAAAACTTTTGGCTATATAAACTCATCACCAAATCCCTCATTTGAGCCATGTGGGACAATAAAATGAGTCGGTAACATGGTAAACATTTGCTTTATTTTTAGGTGAGAAGGTCTAAAAAAAATTATGGACCTTAGGTGCACCAAAGTAACACTCTTAATTGTACAAGCATTCCGTATATCTTCTTTCTTTCCTCAGCACCTCTCTCCTTTTAGCACTGATCAAATTGGTTATCTCTCTCACACCTGCTTCTTCTTCCTCAGCCACACCCCCGCTGCTATGAGTGGCCAGCAATGACAGAGAGTTTAGCTTCCCTTCTTTTGATTCCCTCTGTAGATTGAAGATAAAGGTGACTTCTTTATGACCCAAATTGAAAAAATGTAAGGTGGTGTTTGGGAACTAGTATTTCTTTCCAATTCTTGCATTTCAATTCCAAAATTTGAATTCTTGAGTCTCAAATAATGACAAGGGAGGAGGCATATGGAATTGGAATTATTGTTTGTGATGAATTAGAAGAATTTGTTTCAAATCCAAATATTTAAGATTGCCAAACATGAAATTTGAGCCAAATCCGGATTTGAAATCCAAATTCTAGTTCCCAAACATGCCGTTAATAGAATTGCTTGTTTCAAATTAACCGGTTCTTGTACACCATATTCAACCTTAAGAGATTGATAGGAATAGCCCCATGGCTTTGTATGTTGATTTGTGTTTTTTAAATTTGGCCAATGTGGGATTGTTTGACATGACTAAACAAGAACTTGTAGAATGGACCAGACTCTAGGGCATGTGTGTATCTACCTCAAAACCCTTTAAGTCATTTAGAAGACGGCCACAAGTGCTCAATGACTTGAATAGGCTGTGGTATTCGGGGTGCTGGATGATCTCCTCCGAGAGCTTTGGCCCGACTAAGTAGAGGCCCGGTAGGACAATTGGTCCTAAGGCAAAGGATATGTAAGCATTCTGCATGTACTCGTCCAACGTCGGCACGGACATCTCTTTTGTCCATTCAGCCTCTCTTAACATAGAATTCATCAAATCCAACCACTGCAACTCACAACAGCAAGTAGATCTCAGTCATCAATTGTATGCTCAGAAAGTAAAAATAACACCAACAATAAAGTTATGGAGCAAAGACCTTCCTTTGATATGCATAAAAACATCGGAGCATGTAAATTAATTAGAAAGTAACGTTTGAGATTATTATTATTATTAATGGTAAATAAAAAGTCTTTGTATCTCACGATCTCAATTATGTGGCTCATCACATCACGTCCTTGGTATTTAAATGCTTTGTCTGCGATCTCAGAAATTGTGCTGTGAAGTGCAGAAAATATGATCTGAACCTGCTCTGAACAATAGTCAGTGCTAGCATTTACATCCCACCTGTGCAAGTCACAATAATTCACAGAATAAGAATTTTAGCTATGTCAAGGATAGTGATTGAATTCAGGATAAGGTCTTCGTCATAAGACAAATGGGTCAAATCATACTAAAAGATTGAATCCAACTGATTAGCTACGACGACCCAAGATCTTATTAACTCTTCATTTCCTAGTTTTATCTCCATCATATCCAATGGAATCAGAGATTTACTACCTTTTGGCTTTGTGGTATGATAGAATAAAGTACTATGGCTCTTAAGTCTGCACTTCTTTTAATAATGAAGTATGATGTAGTCAATACAACTTTCGGCACACATCATGGATCATCGGGAAGCAGACGCTCTATGTTCTAAACATAGAGGTCAGGCTGTATACATCCAACCCCCCCCCCCCACAACAGGCGGGAGCCTTTGAGACACTGGAATAATGTATGTATTGAAAGACTAAACAAGCATTTTGGCTGATAAGAGTGCTTACTTTTCAAGCAAATGAAAAAGGTTTCTTAATTCCTCCATAGAACCTCCAACATCAAAAAAGTCATCTACTACAGTAGTCAAAACACCATTTTGGGCCCACGAGAGACGTGCATCAGACAGTTCGGGTGGAAAAAGTGTTGCTGCAGCTGAAAAGTAACAGTATGCAGACTTTTGTCTGGCAAACTTCAACCTATCCAGTCCGCTTTTTTTACTACCCACCTATTTTCATCAATACAAATAACCATAAATATGGCATGAGTGAGTAAATAAATCATATCAAGAAGACAATGGGGGAAGGATATACAAAATGATTGACTTTCTTGAATGCCTAGAAGTATTTTCAAGTTTCAACTGATCCAACACTATTTCATTGCTATCAAAGAATAAGGGCGGCCAACCAGCAAAGAAGCACATCAGGTACCCACCTTTCAAGTTGTTTCAGTTCTTCATGATGTATAGATTGGCAAATGTTGAAATCCTGAACAGCAAGAGTTAGAAAATCTTTATTGCAAAAGTTTGGAGAACTGCAGGTAACATAAAAGAAATAGAACCAATTTAGACAGTGAACTTTTTTGACAAGATTCAAGCGAAAATACATGCTTCACAGAGAAATAAAGAGCTCTACCCATATGAAGTCTTGGAGAATCTGGTACTATCTACATTGTAATGCTCTATGTACCTTGGGTTTGCAACTCGTTCTAAATTTGCATAGAAAGGAAAATTAAGCACATCCTCCACCTATAAATGAGATAATAACTATTTACTTTTGTTAAGTTCAAATGTTCTAAAAACTGACTCAGCACAAATCTCTTGAAAAGAAGTTCAAAAAACCTGTTTATGAATCTGTCTAGTATGGATATCTGAACACAATAAATCACTAGAAAGTTCTTCTCTCAAAATCTCAAACCACCTGTTATGTTTTTCAGAAACATATTCATCAAAATTACATATTATTTCCAGTGCTTGATAGAGATCCAGCATAGTATATACATCCATTGGATAACCAGCAGTAATATTGCAGATGCTCTCCTCCAGAAAGTGAGTAACTGGACCTGTAGTCCAGAACTGATATATCAAACTTTTCAGACCATCTACTCACTTACTCCCTCCGTCCCATAAAGAATGCTACACTTCACTATTCAAAAATCACGGAAACTTTTGTTTATTTGTGTGTTTTTATTCATTATTTGATAAAATAAAATATTCTTGTCACCTCTTATTTTGTAGAACCTTTGACGTAGTTTTTTAATATGTAAGTTTTATTATTTATTTCTATACCAATCTTTGAATAAATTGAACTGAAAAAACTTGGAATTTTGCTTCGCTTTGCGTAATGTGGCATTTTTTTGGGACAGAAGGAGTATATCATGTGAGGAAGCAAGAACCTGTTATTGTTCTTTCAAATCAATGAATACCTGAAGAAATGTTGTAGCCGCTCATTTGCAGCAACCTGAATGCCAAACCACAGGTGGAAGCATCCATAAAGATCTCTTCACCCCCCTGCAACCAGCGGCTTTTTTACCACAAGGGAATGGGAGCTTGTTTGAGATAAAACTATCTTTCATCTACCAGAAAATTACAATAATGAACAGTAGAGCTTTTAGAAAGCTACCTGTAAGTTTCATCTAACACAGTTTGTATTTCTTCATTGTAGTGGCGACTAATGCCCAATTTCTCAACATTATCAACAACACAGAGCCGTGCATATACATCAAGAGGGTATACTGCTGGAACTGAAATATTGAATAAGAAAAGTGTTACAACTTGAAACAATGTAAGAATGGATGTGCAGGCCAACCAAAGTTGATGAAAGTACCCTCGTTCCCACATGTTTCCAAAACAGAATTTAGGTAACTAAAACATTCAGGATCATGGTGATGAATAAGTGCAGAAGCAGTAGTAGAAGGTGAATTGAACAAAGAGCCATTCTCCCTTTGGAACTTCATAGTTTTTCCCCAGTCTTGCAGAAATCCTAATCCTTCAGATACATATGCAAGGTAAGCTTCAAACTCCTTTGAGCTATTTCCTTTGCACCTATTGAAAAAATAGATAAGAAAATCTTCCACTTTAAAGTCCCAAATTTTTTTAATTTCCACTTTTGATACCCAAATTTCCCCCACTTAGGTGCACAGCTATAATTTCTTACCACTATAGTGTATATGTACATCACTAATCTGGCAAAAACTCATAAGGATATAGCTTTGGGTATATAAGTGATCGGTAGGCCAGAGAGTGGCAAGATATCCATAGTCATGCACTAAAAGTGGAAAAATGAAATTCATAGACCAAAAGTGAAAATAGCCCAAGATATCCATAGTCATGCACTAAAAGTGGAAAAATGAAATTCATAGACAAAAAGTGAAAATAACCCTGATCATTATCACAAAAAAAAAGTGGAATATTTTTTGTTAGATAACAAGATGCCTTTTTGGACTCAACCACTTGATTGTTTAATCGATCAATGTTGCATCTAACTAGATACGGGTGATGCGCATAAGCTTGTAATGTTTTAGCTTCTTCATTATTCAATGATTAGTTTAACTTGATAGGTCCACCTAGACACCACACAAAAAACACTAATTCATGTGTGTGTGTGTGAGTATAATAAGAGAGCTATTTCAATTACGGAAAGTAAACTTTGCTGGTATACCTGTGAAGCTCCGCATCCCTCTTATGAAGCAATGCATTTAAGGTTCTTGGGTCTAAGCGAAGCTTCAAAGAAAAAGCACTAAGACAATCGAGCATCCCAGAAAATAGGATATCAAAACCGGTGGGGTTGATTTGGTTGTTATCTGCTGCAGATGCGAAATTTAACTCAATGAAAAGTAAACCTGAAAGATAAGATGAACCAAGACCATTAGCCATTATAAAAAAAAAAGTACTCCTTGTCCCTTATTTAACTCTCATTTTGAATTTAAACGTTTTTTAATAAAGTGGAAACTTTGTGCTTGAGAATTATTCAGAGGGGAGAGAACAATTCCAACTGCGGAATCTTTTCCTCAAAAGGAAAGAGGAGATAATTTTGGTGCAAGCAAAAAAGAAAAGGATGAGAATAAAATAGGGTCAGAGAGAGTATATACTGCACTGAGAGGAATGTGGTTCAATACCTTTATTTATTTGTTCTTCACCAGTTCCCCATCTTTTCAGAGCCAGAACACATGCTAGAGTTGATAAGAGAACATATTTAAGAAATCTGGGATAAGCATGATGAAGGCTCGATGATCCGTCTTGATTTTGATTATTTAACACCCAATCCAAACATCCAGGAAAACAGGGATGTTCTGAGGAATGTGGAGCAGGGACCATAGCCACCCATGCAGTGTCATATGGAGAAACAGAAAGTTCAACACTTTCAAATAATTCCCGAATCTTTTCTTTGCTTGTTTGAATGCCCTGCATATGCTTCTATTTTTATTACTTGTAATTGGCAAATATTTGAAAATTAGAAGAGTGAAGGTTAATAAAGAGAATGGGTCACGTGACATCTTACTGAGAAAGGTTTATATACTGATCTATCTCTACCACTGCAAGTGCCCAGACTAGCTGCATAACAATTAAAGCTCTCAATAATGATTCCCAAATGTTGGACACAAGTTCAAACAACTCTTGGTTTCACAAAGTTTATAATGGACAAACATACATTTGGAAACAAACATGACACTGAGCAAACAAAATGACAAAATCCCATACAAACAAAGAAATCCTACAAAAATGTCAAAAAAAGTTCTCAGTAGTTGAAGCGAAGAGAAGATTCCCAGATTTTTTTAGTATTACAGAGTATGAATTATTTGCTAGGATGACACGAAATTAAATTACTCTTGGAATAATTTTTATTATTGCACACAAAAACTATTTTAGAGTCAATTTAGAGATATTTTTTGGGTCAGTTGAAAAGTACTTTATTAAGCCAGTTGAAAACAAGTCACATTTTATTCGACAGATTATTTTTCAAGCTCGCAAATATTTTTTGTTCACAAAAGATATCTTGTTTGAATTATTCCATACATCTCTTGACATAAAATATATCTGGCTCAGTTGCTACCTCCCCTACTCAACAGAATACCCAAAATAATTCATTTGACTCCTACTCTAACCATTTTACTCATTCAAAACATTCCGGACTCCGGAGCATGCTAGGGATTCAACTTACCTAATCATCCCAACGTTCATTTTCCGTTACAAAAGAATTTTATTATTGAATAATTCATTAAACATTTTTATTTAATCGATCAAACAGCCATTACGTTCATCCGGATTTGAATACTTTCTAGTTTAATCGATTAACGGGTCCTTTTACATTGTCTTCGACAACTTCCAGAATTTTGCTTATTTAATCAATTAAATAACTAAGTTAATCTAATCGATCAAAAAGCAGTATGCAAGCTTCTAGACTTCATTTCTTCCTAACCACTATATCACCTCGAAAGCATAAAAAGACCCCATCTCAACTCACATTTCTCACAAAAATTCATTGTCTTAGAGCATCCACATCCCTCAATTTAAAATGTAGCCATCCATTCATTATCTCTCATCCACCTCATCTTCACATCATCCATCTTTACATCTCTAATTTTTGTAAAACAACCCATTTCATCCATCTATTCATTTAATTATTCATGGATCCCACTTATACTTTACTTTATTCATTATTTAAATTAATTCATACTCTGTTTTTTTATTATGAAATAATATTAGTTTTTTATTATAACATAATAGATGAATAAAACAATAAGAAAAAATAATAAATTAGGTTGTATTTCGTTCGCCTGATCTGATCTGATTTTTTGAAGATCTGATCTGGACTCATCTGATCCAATTGGATCTGATCTGATCTGATTGGATCTGATCTGATCTGATTAGATCTGATTTGATATAAATTTGATTTAAATTAAAATTAAAATTATAATTATAATAGTTATAATAATAGTAATAATAACTATAATAGAAAAACTAATAGTAATAATAATAATAGAAAAAATAATAATAGTAATAATATTATTATTATTAATAAGAATAGTAATAATAATAGCAACTGCAATAATAATAACACCAACAATAATAGTAATAATTATAATAATAGAAACAATAATAATAATAATAGAAATATTAATAATAATAGTAATACGGAGTAATAATAATAGAAATAATAATAATAGTAATAAGAATAGCAATAATAATAACTATAATAATAATACTAATATTAATAGTAATAATAATAATAGAAATATTAATAATAGTAATAGTAATAATAATAATAGTAATAATAATTATAGGGTTGTTCTTTGGTATTAGTAAGGAAGAGGTTGTTCTTTAGTTACTAAGATTGTTCACTTGAGGAAAGGTTTCCTTAAGTGGCTAAAACTTGAACATAATTCATGTGGAAATCTTGAGTGAGTCACTCTAGGACTGAGGCACAAGTAGAAAACGTTCATTCTAGCGTGAACTCTCTGCCCCCAAAGAGTTCTGTAGCCTCTAACATTTAATTCATGCAACAAAAAAGTTTAAGCGGGTTTTTGTGCATTTGTTTTACATTTTTCTTATTCATATGAAAGAGTATGCTATATGATTACAACAACAACAACCCACTACAAGTAAAATCCCAGAAAAGTAGGATCTGGGAGGAGTGAGTGCACACAAACCTTACCCCTACTTAGAAATAGAGAGACTATTTTCAAGAGACCCCCAACTCAAAGACAAAAGAACAGTCAAGCAAAATGAACATGCATATCAGAATATGCTATATGATTATGCTTCATAAATTTCCATAGGAGAAAGAATATACTCTAGATAATACTTAAATAGACATGGAAAACAGAATAACGAACCTGAAAAAGAAATGCACAGAGTGCTCAAAGTGGGACGTCGTATGAAATGGATTGCTGCATTATGTGCAAAGGGTATGGTAGTAGCAATTGCAAGAGCCGGAAACATTATGGTGGAAAGGGTTTGATGAACTAAGGTACTTCAGTCTGTGCTAGTGATGAAGATTTCAATATCTTGTGTCCTCTTGTTCTGCTAATATTACTAGCTTCACACTGAAAGGAGCATATAACAGCAATGGCATGATCAAAGACCAAACACCGTAGCTAAACATGCATTTATTGAGCAAAGCAAATGCTAAATCCCTGCAAGGCTTTGATGCCATTCATGCCATACAATTTATACTACAATGAGAAAACCATGAAGCAGATCAAGTAGCTAAAGTGGCTGCTTTTTACAGAAGAGTAAGGATAGATGGGCCAAGATTTATTTACATTTATCCTGGTGGATTTTCAATCCCAATTAGCATTTGCTCTGATTTTTTGTTTCTTTTTTTTTAATGTATTTCCTCTCTAAGGGTCTCCTTTAATGGAGGGGAAAGCATTGAGTGTATATATACACACACACACACACACACACACACATATATATAGGATTCTTAACATTCTCAGCACCTCCTCTAGTATTAGCAGCTAGAGTATCCTTCAAAAGATTTTTTTTCTCTCTCACTCAAATTAGAAGAGGAAGGTGCATCATCATCCAACAATGGGCTGGTGTAACATTTACGTGAGAAAGAATGTTCTTCATATTCAATTTCTAAATTATATCCAAGAAGGCCAGAATTAACTTCCCCAGTATTAATGCTAGAATTAGAATGAATGGAGTTAGAAGAACAATTATCAACACCAATCATAGGTGCGACTGGAAAAACAGGAAACTCATCAGAAACTGGCTCCCTTGCCATACTGTTTTTCCCTTGCTGGTTTGGCAGCGGCTTCAATAGCAGCAGGATCTTTATCCTCAATGGTCAGCATGCATCATATCTCCTGTCTTAGCTAGTATCCTAAACAGTTTCTCCCCCCATGTTCAACGGAAGAATTCATTCTAAATTTCACAGATTGAACGTGAACAACAGTGGAAGGAGTGTGAACTGGATGCAGGAGGGATGCTACTGCAGGAGAATCTAGTTTTTCCAATGACTTAAGTGCATGAAAAATATTTATGGGGGAAAATCCACCTCTGTTAAAAGATCATCTTAGGTAGTCTTCGCGGGCTTAAAAACAGGATGAATAGAACATTTCTGATCAACAATCTAAAAATTATCTTCTGGGACAGAAGCTTGATGAATGCCCTGGGATTGTGTATTTTTTGGAATATAAACAAACTCTCCACCAGATCCAAATTGCCTCTACTTCTACTTCTTCTACTCCCTTGGGCCTTGTCCAAGGTTTCCAGAAGCATATCTTATTAAAATAATAAGTGTTCAATATTTTTCCTTTCCTTTCCCGTTTTGCTTCAATAAAAGAATTCTCATCCAGCTTACACTTCTCATCTTTATGGCCCTCTTTAAACGTTTATATCAATAATAGGGTATCCTTTCATAGAATTATCAGGGTTGCATGGTCAACCCCCAAAATTTTCCCAATAGGTTAACATGCCAATGATAAATAAAACAATGTTAAACAAATGAATAAGCAAACTTTGTAGCATCTGCACACCATTACTGCCTGGTTATCTGAGATTTTAGTTCTTAATTATATAAATGTAGAATAACAAAGGCTACATTAGACAAAACAGAACAAAATCAACAAATCGGAATTTGGAAAACAGGAAAAAACGATTACCACACGGCACGCAATTCATGGAGCAAAGTTGAAGCAGCTCAAATTCAACAATGGATGTCTGATTTTCTAAGAGTTTGAAGAGATGTCAGTTTGTTAGGGTTATCCCTTACCGAAAAAAAAACAAAAATACTAACCTGATGATTGGCTATGGCGACTCCTTTCAGATGTTACAGCTCTCAAGAGAGCAACAGAGAAGCAGAAGGCAGATTGAATTTCGTCATTGCGTGTCTATATATAGCAAGTGAGAAAAGAAGAAATTAATCTTTTTGACGAGATTAACATGATGGGGAAGATGAAAACATATTTTCCAAGATGCATCTTCTTCCTTCAACGATTGGCGTGAATATTAAAAGAATTGCCATATCTGGCCGGAGTGCGCTCCCATTTGCATAGAAAAGTGAAATGCACGAGACCTTTTTCTAGGTTTGAAAAAAATAGGGAGTAGATGATTTTGGAAGAGAGTGACAAAAAAATTAGAAATTCCAAATTGGAAAAACGGGAAGGAATAAGAAAAATGTAGAACAAATTAACAAACACGGGAAAAAGTTGGAAAAGAAAATATTTAAATAAATATTATAATTTTGAAATAACATAAATAAAAAATGTTAAGATATCTATTATCCTACTTTATATATTACTGAGTATATTTTTTGTTATATGATTTTTTTTACACATTTTTTTAGTTTTTTCTTAATAATGTAGTTGTGTACTATAATTATTATTTTTTTAATTTAAAAATTTACTTTTTCCCAATTCATTTTAGATTAATACGAAATAGTTTTTTATCCACACTTTTTGAAACATGGGTTAGGCTGAGTTCTGTTCGCAGTTTGTCTGATCTAATAAGATTTTTTGAAATATTTGTCTGGTCTAACTTGATTAGATCTGACCCTCGGCGCAATCTATTAATAAAATCAAAATACGAGGATCCGATCTGATATAAATTTGATTTAGATTAAAACTAAAATTATTATTATTATACTTATTATAATAGTACTCCGTAATAATATTAATTATCTAGAGACATCTATAATAATAGCAACAATAGAAATAATAATAATAATAATAATAACTATAATAACAATAATAGTAATAATAACAGAAATAATAATAATATTAATATTAATAATAATAACAAAAGTAATAATAATTATAATCATAATCATAATACTAATGGTAATAATAATATTAACAAAAGCAATAATAATATTAATAATCATAATAGTAATAGTAATAGTAATAATAGTAATAGTAGTAGTAATAACAATAACAATAATAGTAATGATAGTAATAGTAATAGTAGCAGTAGTAGTAGTAATAATAATGATAATAAAAATTTTGTTTAGATCTGATTAGATATGATTTAATTTAGTTTGATCTGATCTGATATAACTCAATTTGATATGATTTTTAAAATAATAACAACTTTTTTAGATTCAAACCATGTTGGAATATAACACATTATATAATAATAAAAGTAATAATAATAATGATATAAACATATAATAATAATAATAACCGTGAAAAAAATATTAAAAAGAAAATGGAAAAAAAGTACCTCGTATGAGAATTTTACCTAGATAATACTAAAATAATGACTTTATCGATGTAATATCATATAATTGTTCAAGTAAATATTCACCGCCACAAGACATTGTTCAAACGTGTTGGTCATGTGTAACGCTTAGGCCTATTTTTATTCGAATCGTCATTTTTGGGATTACTTTGCATTAAGTCAAGCATACTCCATAATTCAGAGGGAGTACATTGACTGGGAACAAAATGTTATTCCATATGATAAATCTAGTTTAGCATCAGAGTTTGACATGAAAAATTGGCATTATGTGTTATAGACCCACAAGATAATGTATATCTATGTGACTTAGGAAATGTCTGACTTTGCTGTCAAGATGATAATTATCTATACAATGCATATTATTTTATTTATAAATTAGATCATCAATAAGTGATAACAATATTTAATATTTCCTCCGTCTCAGAGTATTTGTCTACTTTTATTTTTACACAACATTCAATACACTTCTTTAATCCATTTTATCTTGTAATTTGTATATTAAAAAATTATAGAAATTATATAGTTACAAGGGCAAAATCCATTGACAATGACTAGCGATACCACTAGTGGTGTCACTGTACTTTCGGAACATCTTCGGTGCTTCGTTCGCAAAATTGATAGTTCATGTCCTCTTAACCCACCTCCTAAACCCTCACCCTTGTCCCACCTCCTGCCCCCATCCCAGCGCCACCCTAAGCCTCTTCCAAATGTGTGGCTATTATGCATTGTTTAATAGCTACACATTTGTAAGCAGGTAAAAAGGGAGTTTGTGGTGGGATGCAAGGGTCAAGCTAGGGCGGGGAGGTTTAGGCAGAAGTTTAAGAGTAAAAATCATCAATTTTGTGAACGGAGCATAAGAGGAGTTGCAAATGAACGAGTTCCATATGTTGACACTAATTATAATTAGCTCAGACTCGAAATAACATCTCACATTTTGGCCGCTTCTATAAATCTCTAATTCATATACCAACTTATAATAAACTTGACCAATCCATCAAAGAGAACCTTAATTAAGGGACAATTATTTGAATAAGCCCACAATTTTTGGCACAACGAATTTGATTAGTACAGAACCTAACTTTCCTCCTACATTATTTGTAATATGCTTCCCTTGCAAAGAATATGGTGTGTGGAAATGAGCTAGATAAATACTTATTTTTCAAACCCAGACATTTAAAATAAAAAGTTAAAAAAAAGAATCAGTACAAGGAATTGTAAGTACAACAGGTGGCAACAATGGATGCAACACAAATGACAAGTGATGGAAGCAGTGTGGCATTTAAGAGTCTGCTCTGCCCCAAATAACCGGCAGCCGTTATGGTTCCGTCGGCAACGACCCGGGCTATCGTGCCGGCCTCCGTCGACAGGAGCCCACCGTTGTATGTCCCGCGAGAAAGACGGGACGACATGACTCGGGAGAGGAGGGACAAGTTCACCCCTACATTCCAAAACAAAAAAAAAGCAAAAAATCATGTGTCGGTCAATTGTCTCGTGGAGAATGTCACGTTGACCAAGTCAAAGTTGTGGGCACTTGTGTGTTGAATGCAGTATAAAGTTAGGGTATGCGCAAATCCTAACACCGATTGTTTTTTGGAGACTTGGTGGCACCTGAGGTCCTACAATTGATGATAGAGCCAAGTTCACGAGTTTGATTCTTAGGGAGGAAATTGTTAATCATGTGGTGAAGGCCAAGTTACAGTCGAATGTTGTGACTGAATGCTTGTGGGCTGAATGCACTATAAGACTAGGGTATGTGTACTTCCTAGCACCAAGGATATTTAGTAGGGCAGGAGGTCCTACAATTGGTATCAAAGCCAAGTGTACACGTTCGAATCTCCGGGAGGAGTAATTGCTTGCTTATGGGGAAATTGTTGGGCATGTGTTCATCAATGGTCTTTTAGCGGAGACGAGGTGGCCAAGTCAAGGCCGAATGTCGTGAGACAGTGTACGTTGAACGCGTTATAAGTGTAGGGTATGCGCATTTCCTAACACCAATTAGTTGTAGGAAAATTCGTAGGACCTGGTGTCCTACAAATTGAACATACTTTTTCTATCCCTGCCCCTGTCTACATGTCCAATTTTATTGAATGTTCAATACAACTAAAGACTGCGCAATCATTTGGAAGAAACAGAAGATAAAAATTACCTTCCAAAACCTCTGCAGACACAAACATTATCAGCCCAGAGATGACATACTGTGGCACAGAATATGGCACCATTACTTGAAAGCTGAGGAGTATTCCAAAGAAAACCACAATCTCAGATGCCAGCAAAATTTGCCTGCATTGCACGATAAAAATGAAAACAGAAAAATTTTAATATCTATGACTCAGCGAAAAATATAAAGCAGATTTTATCATGGAAAAATAACCCAGAGGACGAAAAGTATGAATTTTGATGGATGAAATACTTCCATTGAGAAGAAGAAGAAGAAGAAGAAGAAGAAGAAGAAGAAAAGTCAACCTGTCTTGGAACATGTTGCTTATGTAGCTTCCAACAACAATATTTACCGGAAGAACGGTTAAGCCAAGACATGCTAAAAAGATTGAGACAGTGCCAGTTGACCACTGGAAGTAATATTCGGTGATAACGCTGGACTCTGAGAGTAAAATCTCCATAGCATATTTCAGCATAAAGTAAATCAACAACTGAACCTGAGATCAAAGCAGGTTTATGTCGTCACCAATTGCNCCCAAAAAAAAATGGTGTTTCACTCAAAATCAATTTGACTGAATAAATTTTAATAATAATAATAATAATAAGAACAATAATAATAATAATAATAATAATAATAATAATAATAATAATAATAATAATTACTAGTCCAAAATGTACCTTCACGGATGGAGTCAATAATCTGTATGCTGATCCAATGGAGTTGGCAGGCAAACGAGACTCCTCTGGGGCTTCTTCGCTCTCATCACATTCTTGGTCACCATCACCATCTTGTTCTTCAGATTTTATGAGCAGTGGTTTCGCGAGACCTTCCTCTAGCACAGCATTATCTGGCACTAAAGAAATTCATATTGAATTCAGAACCATGATTTGAAGTCCAAAATGATAACCAAGAACTCCAACAGAAGGGATTTATTAAAGAGGAATAGAATACTTTTGGAGAATAGTGCATGACATATACATGCTACACTAAATAGCATAATACGGAGTAATAACAAATAATAATAGTAATAATAATAATAATAATAATAATAATAATAATAATAATAAATGGGAAGCTAACATATACCTGCACTTGATTCATGTGTAACATTGATTTCTTCAGTTTCTTGCACAGGTTCTCTAAATGAGATCCATAACCACACCAAATACATTAACCATGCCAAAGCCATAATCCAACCGGGTAAAGTTTCTTTGTTCAATGTTAGCTTGTATAGTTTGAAATCAGCTTGAAGTAGGCCGGCAAGTGCAGGACCACATGCCATTCCAAGAGCACTGGCACTTACAAAGCCTGCCGAAGCTTGCATTCGGATTTTAAGTGGCACACAGTCACTGATATACCTTCGGTTCACTGCTCTTGCAGAACCCAAACTGCAATTAGAAATGCCAAGATCGGCCACTAACTTTGTCAATTGTCAAATGATATTTGGTTGCAAAATTTGCATTTACTATTCAAAATTTCACAGAAAGTAATAAGCATTGTAAGTTTAATCATTTAATGTGCCATTTTTCTACTTGCATGAAAATATCATGAGAACAATGAGAAATTATAGTACGCTTAAAAACATTAGATTTTTTCAATATTTGGAATGACAATATCCACGAAGAAAATGCACATGTGTGCTAGTTATGCATAAGAAGAAAACGCGCTCATGTACTAGTTATGGATAAGAAGAGAATAACACATTAACACATACAAATCACGAGAGAGAGAGAGAGAGAGTACCCGCAGAATAATCTGCCTATTAGTAGAACTGGTAATGATTTCAAGTCATAGGCGAGTGCATATAGGATATTGCCTATACAAAGAGCTATACTGCTAAATACCAAAGGTCTGAAATAAGACTTGTTTGACCAAGCACTGAAATAAACCGATGAGAAAACTTGTGCAACTGCCATTGACCCAATCACAATGCCACAAACCGTAGCTGCAGCACCAAGACTCATAGAATAGTCATCTGCTGTGGGAACGATAATATATGTATTAACCATATAAAGGAAAGTGTTGGCAAGGTTCAACATGAGTGACATAAAATGGTATCTTTGATCATCAACATCTTCTTCAACCGCACTAGGCAATTCTTCTTGCATTATAAGTGCATGCTGGCCCAAAAAGCTTAGGAAGTTTGTTGAATGAGTTAACCTGTCTGTTGCTGCTCTTATTGAGTCGACAACAGGATCCTGCAGATGAGCACTAGATTAGCATAAATTGTAAAATCCAGGAAGAAATAAATAGTAGTAAGGAGATATATATTGCTCCAACAAAACAGAGAGAGAAATATGAACAAGTAAGAAGTTCTGATAAAAGTAGAAAGTATTCGAGTGAGCTAATCTAAAGAAGGCAGATGAAACCTGAAGGGGAAGAGCAGGCTGGTCATAAATAGACAAGTAGCTTCCCTGACGGTCTTGAAGTTCTGCAAGATTACGAGATATTGCTCCAACAACTGCCCCTAGTCCCTACAATTGTAAAGTAACTAGTTTCTGTCATCATAAATTAATGATGGAAAGTAGCAAAGGCAACCCACACGTCCTATACATCATATGTGCAGTAGAATGGATATCAATAAAGATTTTAGCATGATGCACACCGAAGTAGACCAAGAATAATTTAAATAAATACATAAAAACGAGGAAACATGTGAATATATAGGTATTTCAATTGGTGTCTCACCACATGCTTGAAAACTTGCCGAAGCTGCGAATAGGGATGATTGGCCCGTGTTTTGACATAGTAATTGGTAAATTTATAGCCAAAGCGTTTGTCAAACTTCTTTAATATTTTCCGCAGCCCAATGGCATTTATTTCAACAAAGAAAAGAAGCTTAAGAAGATCACGCCCCACTTCCCTATAAGCTTCCCGCAGCTCACTTATTTTGGATATTTCAGGCTGCTCTTGAAGACTTTCTTGACGCTCATTGAGTTCAGTTATCCTGCCCGCAAGTGCTCCTTGTTGTTCCAGCAAGAAGAGCACAATCTTTTCAATCTGCATCAATAACCAACATAAGTATTTTTTAGGGATACAACATACAGTATTATTCAAACTTCATGTAGATTGTAGCAATACTAAGCTAAAATGACATATTTTTAGCATATATATAGCAAATAAATATATTTTTCTTGTTGAAATTAATCACAATTGAATCTCACTAAGTCCCTAACCATCTCCCCATTGTAGTTATACTCAATCACAACAAAAACAAATACATTTTATCCCATTATAGGAAAAATAAAAAACTTATCACCCCAAATTAATCATAATCTTGAGTCTTGACACTACGTAGACTAAGGGCCTGTCAGGTAAGATGTATTCAGAAAAAATGTATGCTGAATTTTATAAAATAAATTTTTTTTAGTAACATCGATTTCAGTCGTGACTAGTAATTTTCTACATATACAGCTAAGCACAACAAGCTAGACAAAGCTACCAGACATACCACTAATATGTATATTTTGCATGGTAGCATCATAATAGTGATCCTTGTTTACTCCAAATGTAATCGCTACATGTTGAGGGAACACCAAGAGTATCTTAAAGAGTAAAGGTGTGACTATTATTAAGTCATCTCACACCAGCTGACTATATAAACACAAATCAGCACATAAAGCATTGGAATACTACTGCAATTAGGCTGGCTTTTAGAATGGAACGCAAATTTTTACTTGCCATGAAATTTTTTTACGGTGGAATCCCAAGTCTTAACAACTAGCATTAGATTTTGTTATCCCAAATCCCAAGAAAAAGTCCTGCATTCAAGTTGAAAAGACACCAAACTTTGATTCCAGAGACCACCCAGCAAAACATGAGCACCATGATATACACAGAGTTTAGTAGAGAAAATCCGACTAACCTGATTGTCCAGCATTCTTGAGAAATCCTTGAGAACATGTCGGCGGTCCAAAGCCCCGGCTTCAATTTGGTTCGAATACTGCCTAACCTTTTTCTTCATTATTTTGTAGTTGATATAATATCTACAAATAATAGATAGATTTTTCATGAAGTTCACATACAAGGATCACACTTTTTCACAAATAGGATTTAAAAAATACCAATAATGTAGTCTTCAATGCATATCTATATTGAATCGAAGCATACCCTTGCCATTCTTGAACTTGTCTTTCCTTTAGCTTCTTCCCAAAAGCAACCATCTTTCACTGCAAATGAAAGAACTTTGTATGAGAAAACAAAATGACAAAACCATACACATCCAGGCATACTATTCTTTTCATCATTCAAAAAAAGGCATTCCAGATGAAAAAAGGAAAAAAATTTTAATTTTTTTCTTCTCTAAATCATGGTCCATTAACCTCAAAAAGTAGCATATAATTATCACTATGTAATGATCCCTGTGAGGGGTGGCTACTTGTGCTAGTTTGGTAGTTGCTTCAGTTGTAATACCAGTGCCTACAATTACCCATTCCTGTTCCACTTTTACCACTATTGCAAATTAACACTCCAAAACTCCATTGCTTGTTCTTTGTTTATTCCTAGGTTCTTGTCTCTGAATTTAAGCAAATTGACCCTTCCCACTTCCATTCTTGGCTCAAACTTGAGCTGAGACTGGCAGTAATTATCCAAGATCTTACATACAATCACAATCTATCTATAGACAACATATATACACGACACACATTGACACAACCTATAATACAGAGGTGCTGAATAAAAGCTACCAGAAGTACCAAGATGTTAAGGAGGCAGGAGACGAGATTCAACAAACAGAGACAAAGGGGAGCAATATATCAGTTTCTTCAAGAAATCCCGTTCAGGAATATTGTCGAACAAGTTCGGAGCAAAGGGCCTATAACAACAAAAACCCAGTTTCCAATTCCCAAACTTTACGAGAATTTCGGATCTTTTTTTATACCCCACCGAGAAACCGAGAAGGTGGAAACAACTGGGGATTGGGATAAGAGTTTTATGTTTTTGAGCTAATGGCAATTGAATTTCGGAGTTTTGGTCTGCAACAACTAATGGGTCTATATCGTTGACGATGCTCTGGAATCAAGAACCAATCATTAGCTCTTTAAATTGTTGCCAATTTAAGCCTTTTTTTATTAAAAAATACTCCGTTAATTGTTTTTGCCAACCATCTAAAAAGTTAAGATAACCGGGTACAATTAAGTCAAAGAAACCTTTTTCAAATAATGGGATAGTTTCGTTTAATATTTGTTGAACTACTCTTGGACCCGCAAATGCAACGAAAGTACCAGGTTCGGTAATAATGATATCACAAAGAAAGTTTTGAAATAGAACATCTTTACCGAAGTATTTCGATGAATTATTTCTATGCCCAGAATGAAGTTATTGAACCACCCCCTCTTCAAGCTCTCGATTGTTATAAAAATTGGCCTTTTCCTTAATTCGATCTGAAGACTTTGCCATGATAAAGCCAAAACCCTTGACACTAGGTCTGAAAATATTAGATTTATATATTTGTACCCTGCTAAAGTAAAAAAGCTTGGCAGATATCTTTTAAATAAATTCCATTTTTCTGATAAAATCGAAAAAAAACTATCTCTTTGAAAAAAAACTTCTTGGCACTTCCTCCCTCTTAAAAGCCTTTTTTCAAAACTATGTTTCAAAAAAATATATTGATAAAATAATGTATGTGAAATTTCAATATTTTTTTTATAATATGCAATCAAAATTTAAAATGTTTGATTACAAAAGTCAAACTGGGAAGGCAAAAAGACCAAAGTATGTGTAAAACATTGAAAATATATCAAAATAGTACTTTCATATTTTTATTCCTGAAATAGAAGTTAAAATGCATTTACATTACCAAACATGATCACATTACGAAAAAGTATAGTACTATATACATGTACAGTGTCACATTACAACTACATACAATGCAAAATACTATTTCAGAAATAAAAATATATAACTCCTATTTTAGTATTTCTTTTTATGTTTTAGTCAGGTTGATTTCTAAAAAGGAAATTAAGTTTAGAAGGGAGGGTACAAAACTCACAAGTGCACATCTTTGTCTTCTCTGAACTCCACTAAGAAAACAAATGGCCTCAAACAAAAATACTAGAGTCACAAATACAAAAATTATAAATTACTTCGTATATAATTTTTTAGTGCTAAATACACGATTTTACTATTTACGCTTTTCACCAAATAACAAAATAAGTCTAAATAATTAAAAAGTAAAAATTTAAATACATAATAAGTTTGTGTTTTTTCACTCTTGTAATTTATGAAAATTTAAACTTACAAATAGAAAGTTTGTAAGTTTTGTGATTTTTGTTTTTTATTAAAAAAATCTAATTACATATGATTATTTGAGTATTAAGACGGTGTATTCAAATTAGATTATGTAAATATTATTTTAGATTGTTTATAATCTATGAATTCTGTAAAATTTATAGATTATTTTAATTCTACATAGAATTATATAGATTTTAATGTATTTTATGTTGTCAAATATTATAGTGGGAAGAAAAATCATAAAAAATAAACCAAACTTATAATCTGTTCAAATTTTACAAAAAAAAATAAAAATAAAATAATGTGGGCGTTGGTGGTTGGAAGACGTACAGATAGATCATGGAGCTTCTCTGCCCTCGACAACGGTGGTTAGAGAGAACCTGCGCGCAGATGTTAAGGAAAACGGAATCACATCCTGCACAGGCTAACATTGACGATCTCCTCCCAGGATAAAATCTAACGTGCAAGGTCTAAAGCGGTAGAACCATACACCGACGAACTGGAACGAAGTGCCCACACGTGTTCAATTTGGTTTCTTAAAAAGATAGGAGTTGGCCAACTCCCTCGTCACGTCACGACGTGTCACGCGCACGCATTCGCAACACACATTCACGTTCACGTGTGCGTGACATGACGAGCCGAGTTGGCCAGACGGCGGCGTGGCGCGCAAGAGGTCCTTTCTTTCCTCTTAAATTGCATTGCCATGCAATTCAATGCTACATTTAGTCATTCTTTATTGAGTTTAGTTTATTCGCCGGAATTCTCCACAATAAATCATATCATTTGTCATTATTTAACACGTATGCTTTGTTTGGTTCGAAAAAAATAGGAAGAAAATTAAGAAAAATGCTAAAGAAAAGGGAAAACCCAAATAAAAAAAATGTTTTAAGTTTGTTTACTAAGTAAGAAAATTTAATGTGAAAAATTGAAAATAATTTTTCAATGACACGCATGCATTTTTTAATAAGGTATGTAATGAGAGAGGAGAGAGATGAGCTAGAGGAGAATAACTGTGTAAAATATAATTTGTATTCTTTTTCTATTTTTCATTATCAAAATGGAAGGAATTTTTTAATATTTAATTACGAGTATATTTTAACTCGCTGTTTCTATTTCTTTCTAATCAAATACAAAAAAAAGATCACTTGCTTTCCCAATTCTTTGAATTGGCTGTGGTGCATTAAACTTTTTTTCTCTGCTTATTACTTATTCTTATTATAATCACATCAGATCGGATCAGAAGCAACTTTAATTATAACTGTTATCGAATCAGATCTTGAAAAAAATCAAATCAGGCGAATAGAATGCAACCTTAATCTCTTACATACTTTGTACATTTGTATTATTTTCTCTTTTCAACCCTAGTCCGAAGTCTAAAACTCTGAAAGTTACTCAATGTGAAAATCAACTCTCCTCCAAAGTCCAAACTCGGAGTAAAATCTAAAAGTTACTCAATGTGAAAATTGATTGGCATGTTTTAATGTTTCCGCATTATTATAATTACTCCGTAGTAAATATATGAAAACAAACACAAATACATGTGAACATTATATGACTGAAAATATATACTTGGTCCGTACCTGAGTGTTTGTCCACTTTTGACTTTTGGAACTGTTCATCTAAGCACTTTGACTCATCAAATTCTCTCAATATGTAAGCCTAAAAATAATCATGTGTGATCTTACTTAATTCGTCTTAACATATAGATTATTAATATAATTTTTATATTTTTAATATACAAATTACAAGATAAAATAGATTAAAAAAGTGTATTGGATGGTGTACAAAAATGAAAGTAGACAAAAACTCAGCGAGGAGGGAGTACATAAGATCCACTTATTAGATCAATTTGTTCATCAAAAAATGGTCATAATATAATTATTTTAAATATACGTATAGTATGCATATTCAGTCTAATGGTTCGAGAGGCTTAAAAGGGACAAACAATATTTAAATTTAATCAAAAGGAACTTCTAAAAAACAATTATTTTATGTGAAAGTTAATTGCATCGAATCGTGATATATTTACGTGTAATTATTTTGCATGAAAGAGTCAAGCTATTTTCACTGGGATTATTCGAACAAAAAACTTTCTATTTGAGAGAGTCCAACAGATGATGTTGGACCACAAGGTCTTTGGCAAGACCCGGTTCATCTTTTTTTTCAATGCTTTGATATCTTTTTTTTCAATGTTTTTTTAGAGAATATTATACTTTCTGGGTCCCAAAGAATTCTTAACGATCCAACTTTTTTAGTCGAATTTTATATTTTGACCATAAATTATGGATGTACTTTATTTAGTTATGGCCTATATTTAATAAAATAACATACTTATAATGGCCAAAGTGTGTAACAATTCTTAAGGTGGATTATAACTTTATTTGTTGGCCTTGGAGCGCCAAAAGTTACCTTTTTTTGGGAATAACGTTTTCAATTAATATTTTGAATCGTCCATTTAAATTTGATAACGCTAAAATTAAATGCTCAAGCTTTTACCAAACGGGCCGTTAGAATTCCTTCCCCACAAGTTGGGCATTTATTCATCACTTGCTCCAACTTAAGGAACATATATATTAGGAAAGCTACCATTTGGTCAAATGGTGAAATTGAATGCTTCCATAATAATTTTAAAAATATGAATTTGCATCAAGACTTGAAAGAAGCAAGAAATTAGATCCAACACAAATTGAGCATATTATAAAATGATGACAAAATATGACATAAATGCATGCATATCTAGATGGGGTTTGAACAATGATTCAAGGTGTTTTTTCTAATGAGATGCATGTTTTTAACAAATTATATTCGTCCCCATTTTGATTATAATTTTTTTTTCTCCTCTTGATAACTTTTGTTTATTTACGTGATTTCATAAAGTATTTGATAAAACAAAATATTTTTATCACTTTTTGTTTTGTAGAACTTTTGACGTAACTTTTTAATATGTAAAATTTATTTATTTTTATTAATATATCGATTTGTAAATAAAATGATCTTAAAAAATGAGAAATTTTTCTCCGTAAACCTCAATTTGTATTCAAATTGGGGACAACGGGAGTAATATAAATCCAATACTCCCTAATATACGTAGGTTTATGCATGTGCATTTTACTGGTTTTAAGTATACTGTTATACAAACTTATTCTCATTATTCAATCTTAGCTTTGTGGAAAAATTGTCTAGTCAATCTTTATATATGCAGTTTCCAATAGTTTTTTCGCCAGAGAAGAAGCTTGAAATGAGCCAAATTGCAAGAAAGTCATTTGGATAAGAAATTGGAAATCAGACCAAAAGTCGAATAATACACCCCCGTTCTCAAAAACACTTCCTCTTTCCTTTTTGAATAATGCTAGAGTTACAAACAAAACACTCACAAAATACACAAACTTACTATTTGTGTATTTTTGTTTTTATTTTTTTAATTGTTTGAGGTCATTAGTTCAAACCATTACTTTACATATTGGGTAAGTTTGTGTATTTTGTGAACATTTAGTATGTGAGTCTAGCATTACTCTTCATTTTTTTCACTTCCAACAAAACACTTCTCCTTTCTATTAAAAAACCACTTTTACCCTTACTTTTTCATACTCTACATATCACATCATACTTTTTCTCAAATAATAAATCCATCACATCTTACTTTTACCCATCACATCAGGGGCAAAATTGGAAGTCAATTATAATTTTACACTTCCTTATTTTGCCTTATAGTCAAAGTGGGAATGGTTTTTCCAAAGGGAGGAGCATATAGAATCAAAACTCACATTATCAAGTGTTGAGAAATTGATTAATAATCAAAAGAAAAAGAAAAAAAAGGAAATAAGAAAGAGGACAAGGAAGATAAAAAAAGGAAGATATGGATGGTGGATGCATCCATCATGCATGCATGTGATTGGGTTCTCTTCTCTAGCAAATTGATTGGGGCAAATTATGCTTCTCTTTGCCCTTTAAAATGGAAAGGCTACAGAGTATTTGTGTGTGGGTTTTACACACCACCAATGTAGAGAGAGAAGCATGGGAGGAATTTACACAAGAATAGCACCGGAAAAATCCAAGGGGTCTTGCTGAGTGTAGGGAGTAACTGGTTTTAATTACTCGAAAAAATACATCTGGGCATAGGATGTGGAAATATCTGTTTATGAGTGTCTGAAATTTAGTCTTGTAAACAGTGGAGAGTTTTTTGTATATTGTCCTGAAATAGTGGAAATATAATGTTTTCTCTCATATATTCTTCTTGTGTTTGTTCTCTCATTTTTCTGGTGTTCTCAATATTTTTTTGGTATCTTACGCGCTTAAAATCCCAACATTAAGGAGGAATATAATTCACTCAAAACATGCAAATGAAGTTCTTTCCATAAGACGACAACCTTAGCTTCTTGAATAATGCCGAGAATCCTAAAGAAAGCAAGGGAGGATGAATCAAATAACCGAATTGAAGAGGAAAAAAAGATTGATCTTTGTATGTATCGAATTGTGCGTCTAGTTGGGATGTTTTCTTAATTAGTTCCATAAAAATGAGAGCATTTTCCACTTTTGGTCACTCACACTCAACTTTCTCCATGGTTGGTGCACGCATGGCACACGCCACTTTTGTGAATTGTTTTTTTCTTTCAAGTAGACACATGTTTCACATCCAATGATACTCAACCCACTATTCTAAATACCGAAAGCATTTTCCAATTTTTGTCCTCAAATTCAATTTCTCCCCGTTTCCTACGTTTGATTCATTTGGCCCACTTATCTAGCTAATCTTTATCCAATTTCTGATTGTTTTTACTGGAAAAGTGGCTCCAGATGAGCAAAAATGCTAGAAATTCATGGGTGTCTAAAACCCATGGATAAAAAATAAAAAATGGACCAAAAGAGCTGAATAATATAGAATCAAAACTCACATTTAATAAGGAATTCAAAGCAAGTTCTATAGGACAGTGGTAGTAGTGTGTGTGTGTGTGTGTATGAGTGCGTCGACATATCCTCCGTATATTTGCACATTACACATATTGTTGCCCCAGAAATACATGGATATTTGAAATTCAAACCCCTCTAAGTAGAATGTTAGTTCCTTTTAAGTAGACACGTGCTTCTCATTTACTAATACGCAAATCACTGGTCTAAAAATCGAGAACATCTTCCACTTTTAGTCACTCACATTCAACTTTCTCCACGGTTGGTGCACGTTTGCCGCACGTATGGCACACACCACTTTTGTTAACGTTTTTTTCTCTTTTAAGTAGACACATGTTTCTCATTCAATGATACTCAACTCACTCTTCTAAATATCCAGAGCATTTTCCACTTTTTGGCCCTTAAATTCAATTTCTTCGCGTTTCCTACAGGCTGCATTTGATTCATTTGACCCACTTATCTAGCCAATCTTTATCCAATTTCTAATTATTACACTCGATAAGTGGCTCCAAAAGAGCAAAAATGCTAGAAATTCATGGGTGTCCAAAACCCGTGGACAAAAAATAAAAATTGGACCAGAAGCTGAATAATATAGAATCAAAACTCACAATTATTAAGGAATTCAATGCAAGGTCTATAGGACAGTGGTTGTAGTATATATATGAGTGCGATGACATATACTCCGTATATCTGCACATTACACATATTGATGCCTAGAAGTATATGGATATTTGAAATTCAAACCCCTCTATCATTTAATTCATACCAAAAAAGAAAAACACCTTAACTTATATAAAAAAATGAGGCATTCATATTCAATAAAGATACCTTTAGTTGTATGGCTAACACTACTTTTGTTAAATGCTCTCTTTTTAAGTGTACACTTGTTTTGTTTCTCATTTAGTAATACTCCAATAATTCTTCTAAACATCGAGAGCATTTTTCACTGTTTGGTCGCTCACTTTCAACTTTCTCCACATTCAGCACACGCTTCACGCACGTATCGTGCACGCAACATATGTCAAACTTTTTTTCCTTTTAAGTATACACGTTTCTTTTTTAGTCATACTCTAATCACTGTTCCAAAAACTGAGAGCATTTTCGACTTCTGGTCCCTTAGTTTCAATATTCTTCGCATTTCCTACACACCACATTTGATTCATTTGGTCGAGTTATGTAGCCAATCTTTATATGGTGTGATTGTTTTCGTCCGAGAAGTGGCTCCAAATGAGCCAAAAATATCAAGAATTTTTAAATATCATTTCAAAAATTTTCTTATAATACGGAAAAACACCTTATTAAAAAATATCATTTCAAGAATTTTCTTTTAATACGGAGTATAATAAAATAGTCAAACTATCTTCTATGTCACAAAACTTTTGATTTAACTTTTAAGTATACATGGTAGAATTTTTTTTAATACTACAACATTTTTGAAATACAATGAATTGAAAATGGTTTAGATCAAGCAACAAAAATCTAATCAATAACACTATATCAAAACAGAGGAATATATACCAACAACTCCATACTGCCCCAAAAATTTGACATAAAAGATCATTGAAGGTAGGCAGATATTTTTACATGAAAAAGAAAAGAAAAAATAGTTTCAAAAATGAGTAGAAGCATAAGACAAATATACATTGGGAAAAAAAAAGAGAAAGAAAATGCATAGAGATTGAGAGCTTTTCGTTGCTACTCCTACTATCGTTCTCGCCTATAAGGTATAGGCGAACACGATTGAGTAGGGGCAGCAAAAAGAAGCTTTAGAAAAAAACATAAACCCCCCAAAAAAATAAAAAAAATAAAAAAACAAAATTGATGCTTCTACTCAAATAACTACACAGCCTAATATCACTTAGGACATGTTTCTTCATCTTCTTTTATATACCCAAAATGTACAAAGTACAAAAAGCACTATGATTGAATGAGCCTCCCCCCTTGACCCGTCGCGGCGACGGGCAAGTCTTTGCCTTTCATCCACTTGGATTGGTAGGTTTTAGCCTTGTCTGGGGCAATGAGCTCGAGGGCACGGTGAACGCACTTCCTGTACGAAAAGTCCTCAACCGTTCCATCTGAGCGTAAGCAGGGCGATTGGTGCTTTTCATGACGCCCTACCTGTGTGATCACAAGAAATTAAATGCATTTTTGACAACCACAACAAGGGTAAAATGGTCATTCGTCTGCATTTCCAGCTTTAAAAGTGATACGGAGTATTATGTAATAAATTTTCGTGTGCACGTGAGTTGCACGTGACAGATCAGATAAATTGGTAACTCGTATGCATTTCCAACTTTGAAAAGTAAGATTTTGCACTATTATTATCAAATTTTCTTCATATAGTTTCTATGTAAAGTACGAAATTTGCGTGCAACTCCCGTGCAGGCAACAAATACTGTAAAAATTTAAGTTTTACCATCAAAAGCCATCATATTGAACAAAAGTTACTGAGAATGGTTCTATTATGACCAACAAGCAAAGGTATAAGCCAATGTACCTTAATTTCACGAGCACCTGTCCCAATTTTCTCATCTCGTTGAGGATGAAAGTACAGTGCTTTCATTACAATTGACTTATCAGATTCCTTCAACGGCTCATCAACACGGTATCTGCAACACATCATATCATATTTGACCGTGAAGAGGCTGATGAACTGATAAAAAGCCAAAAAAAAAGAGAGACTTACGCTTTCAGCATATTACTGAGGGCTTGGGATAGCTTTTGAATGTCATCAAGAGAAAACGCTTTAGAGATTGATTTGCGCAACAGATTCTCGCGTCTCTCCCGATCAATGTCCTCGTATTTGCGTGGCTTTGGGCCACGAGATTTTCTGTGAATTTCAATGGTCTCTGTGGGGTCTACCACTGGATTCTGCTTCATCAGAGTTGACTGAATACCCAACAGACTGTAGACGTCGGTGGGTTCTGCAAGTTTATGCCCCTGGTGGAAGGAAATATAAACAAATAAATCAAAAGGGATATTTATGTTATTATAGGACAATGGTAATAGTATATACGCGTGTGTGATGACATATATATACATCTGCACATGTGCCCCAGAAATATATGGATGTTTGAAATCCAACTCCTCCATTTAACTCATACCAAAAAAAAGAAAAACAGCTTTAGAAATACTTAAATTCTTGAAGCGCTTGTGATAAATATGTAATCTTGGAGCATTCGTGTAAGATTGTAATCTCAGATTTTTGGGAGTATTGACATGAATATTTCCTGTTTTTAAAAGGAGAAAAACAAGTACCTCCCCAGAATATAAAACTTCAAATTGGAATCCAGTGCCGACAGAAGGAACCTTTCCCCATGACAAAGCTTCAGCACTCCCTTGTAGAAGATCAACCGATCCCATCTTGGATGCTTTGACAAACACAGGCCCAGGATTCTGCATGCAATACCGATATTAGGGACAAATGAAGAGGGTAATTTGGTCCAAAAAACTTGCTTGTTTGGAATGATGATAACAGTAATCACCTTTAGACACGCTTGAGAAAAGGGTGCAGAGACAGAGTATGCTTTTCTTTGGTCTGCCAGCCCTTTGGCATTCAAAGCAACAAATTCTCCCGTTGCAGACAAGCAATCTGTGGTAAGGGCCAAATGCTCCGGAAGTATATCCTTTTCAGCATCCGACATTGCAGAGCTTAGACGCTGAAATATAAAAATATTTATTTTTCTTAAGAGGATTCACAGATTTTACATTCAATGTCTGGTGCACGTTTGATGCACGTATAGCGCACGCCACTTTTCTTAAACGCTTTTGCCCCTTTTAATATACCCATGTTTCTCAATTAGTAATACTCAGACCACTGTTCTAAAAATCGAGAACATTTTCCACTTTTGGTCACTTTCAAGTTTCTGCAGGTTTGGTGCACATGCTTCTCATTCAATGATACTAAAATCACAGTTGTAAAAAATGAGCATTTTCCACATTTGGTCCCTCACTTTCAAACTTCTCCACGTTTCAATATTTAAACAGTTTCCAATTGTTTCTCACCGGAAAAGTGGTTCCAAATGAGCGAAATTGCAAAGAACCTTTTGGGGGTCCATATATCGTGGATAAAAAATGAAAAATGGACCAAAAGTTGAACAATATATTACCAAAACTCACATTTAAGAAGGAATTCCACGCAAGGTCTATGCCGAATGTTTGGGAAATGTCCTGGATATCATCTGGATGGCTGCGCTGCCAATCAATCAAGTCCATAATTGGCAGGCAGCTTTCAACAAGGATAGGCCAAAATTTGGTTCTCACACACTTCTCTGACATTGAAACCTGCAAACAAAGTTCTCCAGAAGCTCCCTTCGGACCTTCTTTCCATAAGATGTCAACCTTCTTGAATGCAGAGAAGCCTAAAAAACAAAGGGTGGATGAATCAACTTTAACTCTTTGGACCTTAAAATTTCTTTGGGGGAAAAATATATTTGAAACCTTTAATGACAGTTCCAAGTAAGAATGGCTTGACAACATCCCGAAGGGTATCGTATCCGGGAGAGGATTCTTCTGAGCTTTCATCAATTGCAGCTGAAATGCAAGCATCTCTTTCTTTCTTAAGAGAACAATCCCTGTCAATAACACCCAAAATTAAGAGAAAAAAAAAGAATATTTGTACATCTAGTTTTCCATGTATTTGTATTCTTTATATTTTTAACAAATTTGGGGAAAAGTGAATCCTTACGTGCAAGTTATGTGCAGTTTGGGAAATTCAAATTTCGCCTTAGCTTTTGTGTCTGCGCAATGCATGCTCAGGCCACTGGCGATGGATTGAACCTTTATACCTTTCCTCTTAGCAAGTTCCTGGGCAAAAAAAAACATGATGAAACTAGTAGAAACACGAAATAATAATAAAAGGGAAAAACTGTATCATTACATTGTTGATGTGAAAATGGCACAGCCATGGGCTCCTTCTCTTTTGACAAGTCTCTGGGGAGAAGCTAGAATTTATTCATGTAGAGTTATTGTTAGGTTGTTACAAGGTAAAGAATACCCAAGAGAAGAAAACAAGAAAATTAAATAAATAAAAACCAACCAGATCAATACAGTAGATACAATGTCTGAAAACAGCATTCTTTCCAAATGCCTTTTAACTTCCCAAGCACTGTATTCATATCCATTGCAATACTTGACAAGTTTCTTGGATAAGTATAATGATGCTGTTTTTCCACCGATATTTCTTTTTGCCCCGGATTCAAGCACTTTCTGTAGTCATACACACACACACACACACACACACATATATATTACATTACAATTCAAGTCTGTTAAATATTCCAAACAACAGAAAATAACGCATCTTGAGAGCATAATTACTACTTATTTAACAAATTCAATGATTATGGAGAAGATGAAGAGGGAGTAGAGAGAACAATACCTTCAGGTTCATCAGAGGCGATGGCTCAAGAATACTCACAGGTTGATCCAAGGCACTATATGCGGCTTCAGAGAGCGCACAAGCTGCCAACGAACCAACAGGATGACCTCCCACAACATCCTGACTAAATGATTTTGACGCGTAAGAAAATTGAACCACATGGTTCCCATGCTTGTTTCTAACAGTCCCATCATAACCGATGTACAGATCGCGCATGAAGAACATGAGGTTACGTGTCAATGTTCCTGAAACATCTGCATTACCACCAAAGGAGCCCTCCCTTGTCACCAATGAATGCACAAAACCTTCAAGTGGGTTTAAACCAGTAAGAAAGGAGTTTTCCACCACGGCGCACGGGAAGTGGGGTCCAGAATGTTCTGGAATGTTCCATGATGGGGAAGAAAGGTGGTAAGGGATTTGAAACCCCAACGTGCAGGATGCGTGCAGTAAGCCAAGACACATGCTGTGCTGGACGGCTTTAAGAAGGTTTCCCTTGCTTCCTGCCTTCAACATAGCTAGCAAAGAATTCTCATTGCTTGCATACACATAAAAGAGACTCTGGATATCCCTAAATCCTCTCTTGAAGGAAGATATGGAAGCCTGATTTTGCCCAACCCAGTTCATCTTCTTTTGAACTTGAAAATCAAAAGATTCTTCATTTTCTAGATATGCCCCAGTGAGAAAATCTTGGTTGTCTTCAATCAGCATCTGGGAAATTGAAGACAGAGTCTCTGCCTCTCTCAGACCATAAGAAATCTCATCAAGGAGGTTCTTACGGGTTACCGGATCATCCGACAGATAAAGGTCGGATAGAGAAATACTTAACCCCCTCATGGATAACCATTCACATAGAGCATCTTGTGCAGCATTCAAGAACTGAAGAGCTTCTCCTCCACAATGCATAATAAGACTGTGCACAAGATTCTCAGAAGTCCTATCCCTAAGCCAAGTAGACCCACTAGAGGACAAAACCTCTCCTTGGCTAACACAGACACTGTCTGACTGAAATTTATAATCAAAGTTTCCCGGCAAAAACATGCTGAAAAACTGTTTCCCTGTCCATGCACAGGACCCGCACGACATCCCTTTGATGATGGCAGGAACAGGCAACTTTCCCTGTCCATTGCAGAACATGCTTAGCTGCTGAAGCTGAAAACAGTCAAGTAAAACTCTGTCCTCAAGTAACAAGTGTGCAGCCGTTAAACTGTCATGACTAAGTGACAAAAGATTCCTCCCATTCTGCCGGTTAGTGAGCTGCTTATCCAAAGAAACAAGCTCCTGAAGCTCCACCTTAGAATCAATGGACTGAGGAACAAAACCGTGCAGGCAATCACCGTCAAAGTCTCCACAAAGGGGGGAACAGATAAGAGGGTTTATACTGAGAACAGAGCTCAGAGGAAGGACTTTGACAAAAAGAGCAATCAGAGAGTGTTGATGGATAGACGGAGGCCTGTTTATTAACACCACATCTCCATCGACAAGTGGCCTATAAACCATATCACCTTTTTCTAACTTCTCCAATGCTGTGACTCTAATCAGCTCGCCATTTCTCCTGACAACGACAAATCCCTTTTTAAGAATGATGACATCGCATGTCTCGGTCAACTTTTCAGCATTAAGTGGCGTCAACTGTTCACCAACCTGGAGATTCTCTGCCACATAGCATGGCACACCCAGTTCATTCAGATGTAGCTTTGGGTCTCCAACCACAACCATCCGGAAGGCATTGTCTGTACGCTTTCCAATTATGAGTTCTTTAATGAACTTTAAACCAGAAGCTGTTGATATGGTGTCTTGGGTTGCTTCGGTGTTTGCCACCCTTAGCTGCAATATTATATTTGATGTGTTGGAATTTTTTTCTAGTTCGAAACAGAGCCTAAATGACAAAGGGTTTTGAAATCTTACCTTTGTTATCTTGGTGCAATCAAGAACGCGAATGCTCAACTCATTTGCGGTTCCTTTGAAATCAATCAGCTTTTTATAAAGCCCATTCCTTTCGTCCTAAAACATGAAAATAACTCATTTTTTATTCCAAGAAATGTGTGAAATTTGAAGATGGACAATAATAATACACCCTTCAAACCTACAAATAGCATGTCTTGGCGAAATTCAATTATCCGGTGACAGTTGGGAGTCAATAGCAAACAGTTCAAGAATATAGAACTTTTTCTTTTGAAGGATGTATCAAGAATCAATGGATCAACTTCTTTTAAAATAGAGTGGACCTGAAAACAAATTAGATACAGAAAAGTGTTGCTTTTCAGATATGTTTGCAGAGAGATGATGATTTAGGAATGCATTTTTCTACTACCTGCGCATGCGATAAAAATCTTTGATTTGATTCCAGATTTTCTTCTAGCGCTTTAGAACACTCAACTAATGTGCTAAAGCCTTCTGCTTGTGCATCATGAGGTATTATGTCCCAAAAGTCGGGAGCCAACCCATATTTCTTCATCAACTTTTCGTTCACCTCTGCTATAATGGCAGTCCTCTTGAAGATGTTTCTAGGGGACACTTTAAATTTTAATGGTGGATAACTTTTGAACTTAGCCTGTATTATATTCAACAAAAAACGAGGTTGTAATGAACAAAGCAAGAGGAAAAGCGTAGTGAAGGACTCTGGGAATGCCGAAATCACCCTTCAAGATAACGAGGGTAGCCTCCACATACTAATCTTAAGGGTACTTTCGTCAAATCTATAGCATTTTGTGAACCAATTAATCAAACTTACATCACAATACTTGCAAAACTTCCACTGGGATTGCCCGGATGCGGAAGCAGCAATCTGAAAAAAAAACATTCAGCTTTAAAATACTATATGACCATAAACATAATATAAAATTTAAGTATAACCAAATTTCTTGAATGAAAATTTATATTCTACAGATTAATGAAGAAAAAGTGAAAGGCTGTTCATTTAATGAAAACTTGTCTCCCAACAAACAAAACAAGGTAACATTAAGTTCTCCCTTCCTCTCCAACCCAAACACACCTTCAGTAATTTTGCTAAATACATTTTAGATGCCAAGCAAGAGGTGTAAATTTGAATATGATTACTAATTTACCATCTGATAAACACACTAATACCTGACCTTGATCCTGCTACGGCGCACAGATTTACATCCCGGGCATATTTTGTTCAGAATTTGAGCAACTTCAGGTAAGAAAAATGGATTTATAATAGTGTAGGGTAAATTGATTAGACCAAAGTGCCCTGAAAAAGGTCAAAAGCAAATCCACATTAATAATAACAGAGGAACTGCAAAACAGCATTCATCACAATACATATTGTTTCCCTTCAGACCTTCACACTCTTTTGCATCTTTTGTGCTGCGTTTACTTCTCATATCCGTCACATTAGAGGATCGCTTTGGATCTTGCACTCCGCATGTATGGCACTTAGAAATTGAATTTGGCAACCCCAGAGCGGGGTCCGTTACTTCACTCACTACTCCTACCACCTTAGCTGAAATGTTTGCCTGCAGATACAAAATTAAAAAAACAAAAACAAGTTATCAAGCCATAACTGTGGATGAAGGAATTGATCCTTCTTGAAAACCCGCCTGAAAAGACTCAAACAGTAAAACCAACACACAGAGGAAAAAAACAGAGAAATTAACAAAAACAGAAAATTTTGTTAGTTGACAAATACAACCTTAATTCCTCCAAGCATATCTACACATAGCAATCATTAAAATAAACAAAAAAAGAAAGATGGATAGCAATTTAGGAAATACTTACAGCATCGGAAGCCGATAGGATGTCAAAATTAATGGCCCTTAAAACACCAGATTTTACTGGTTGCTCTATTTCCAGATCACACTCCATCACGAGCAGTTTTAGATCTGAAAAAGGAAAAGATGAACAAATAGTATAAATATAATCTCAACAAATCAAACACAAGTGAAATTTCAATTGATTAAGAAAAAAATGTATAACATACTACCAAAGCTGTCAATGATCTGAGTAATCAATTCACAATCTACGCTCGCAAGTTCAGAGCACTGGAGACTATGGCAAATCGATTGCCGAACAGTGAAAAGGCGATGAACACAGCAGTGAAAAGGCTGAAATAAGTGGGAATCGTGGGATACGGAAGAAATTGCAGAGGTAAAACAATCTGATATTGAAAAGAGGAAACAATCTTGTGCGGTGGAGGGGGGCATCACACCTAAGGCGGAGATTCCTAGGCGTGTAACGGGGTTAAACTTTTCCCGTTAGAACTGGTAAGAAGTTCATACACGTAAATAACAGCAACATCATAAACCATCCACACAAAATCACCAAATAAATTGTGCAATTATTGAGATTTTCTTTTCTAATAAATGGAAGAGCAAAAAGAGAAACCTTTGAAGAAATAGACCTGATTGGGATGGTAGTAAATGGGTGGGTGGATCAAAGGGTAAAATAGACCTTTACTTTTCATTTAGTTGCCAAATTATGGAAAGGGGAAGAAAGAGAAGGGACAGCCCAAAAAAGAAACTAAGAAGTTTCAAAGAAGACGGAGGGAGTAGTATACTACGAAAAATATGTGTGCGCTCGCCGCTCGCACGAGACATGCACGAAACACGCCACGTGCATGCATACACAGATATGTGTTAGAGTATATAACAATCATTCCTGAGCCACAACCACAAGCTTGAGCTTTTGGTTGAGTTGGTTCCTTCACATGGTATCGGAGCCTTGATGACCAAGAGGTCACGAGTTCGAAACTCACCGCCACCCAGTTTAAATAAAATTAAGGTTTCACGTGCAAGACTCAAAGAGGTCACGCCTGCACGTGAGGGGGCGTGTTATAGTATATAACAATCATTCCTGGGCCACAACCACAAGCTTGAACTTTTGGTTGAGTTGGTTCCTTCACAATATGGAAATAGAGTATTATAAATAAATTCTCAGCAAGATTGTGTAACATACTACAGCACTATCAACGATCAACTTGGATGAATCGACTCATGATCTACACTTGCACTCAAGATATAATTCAAGATTCTAAACCAATGAACCTCAGCCTAAAAAACAGCAACCTTAAAACAAAAATAAATCCACATAAAACAGAAACCTTCAAAGTTCTTTGCAAGCAAGGTTGTCAAACTTGTTATCCTAACTAGGATTGGAAAACCCAGAAAAGAAAAAAGGAAAAGCAAGAGCTTCTTCACCTATCAAGCAAGAGCATAGCAGTATTACACCCACAATGATGATCAAGAAAATTCAAGATTATGTTCAGAAACAGAGCAAAAAGGAAATACATAAATGCATACCCCTTAAGAACTCAACTAGCAATTACTGCTCCCCTGGTTGTTTTTTTCCCAGAGTCTACCCTAACAATGTAATTTGTACCTTTGTAAGAGAAGTTTGAGTCTGCATATTGTGGTGTGAAGAACAGAGAGCCTGGGGTAGATGGTAAATTATGGGAAGTTCATGGGACATGACAGAGAACTAACTTCCTTTGGAGTGTGCAAGAGAGAGTCCCGACTGTTTGTCGAACTTGGAGGCTAAGCAACATATATTCTCGAGTACCTAATTTAGCATTGCAGTGTAGTTCAGGAATTGAATCCTAATGCTAACAATAATAAGTGCCCAATTGTAATTAAGCCGAGCATTGTCATCATTACTCATAGGCGGAGGAAGATGGGAGAAAAACTACTTGTGTGAAAGAGGGAAAAACCCCCATTAAAACGTGCAATAATGTGTCTTATAGGCTCTAACACATTCATTGGTCACGTATTGTAAGTGTGTCACACAAATAGCCAATTAAAATGTTTTGTACTCCCTCCGTCCTTTTTGAAACTTCTCACTCTGACTTGGCATGGATTTTAGTGTAAGATGATAAAGTTGTGAAGTTTCCAAGTTTACCCTTTGTACTCTCTGTGTCTTTCTTTTTCAGTAACTCACCCACTCCTGCCCTGTGCCTCAAACCAACCTTATCCTCTTCATCTTCAACCTCAAACCCACCCCTTACCATTGCCCACCCTTGCATGTCCTGCCTGTGCCCACTAATATCAAACTCAAACTTCTTTTTCTATAACCTCAAATTTGCCCCAGCAAAAGGAAAACAAAATCAAATACAAATTACAAATTCAAAATCAAATTTCATTACATTTAAAAAAAAATCAAATCAAGGGTAATGCCAGAAATTTGCTGTTCTTCACCTTTTAGCCCTCACTCCTTTAGTTGCTGCCCCTCCACCACCAAAGGTAAGGCTAAAAATCAAAATTGAATTCTTTTCCATTTGGAAGAACGAAAAAGAACCAAGCAAGGAGAGACCGATTTGGAAGAAGATAGAAGAAGATCTAGAAAAAGAACAAGGAAAAGAAAAGAGATTTGGGGTGGTTTGACGAAATGGGTTGGGATTTGGCATTTGCTAACGAAGAACAGAGATAGTTCTAATTAAGGGGCTGGGTGGGGAGATCTGATTAGGATGATAGTAAATGGGTGGATGGATCAAAGGGTAAAATAGACCTTTGCTTTTCATTTAGTTTCCAAATTAGGGAAGTGGGAATAAAGAGAAGGGATGGGCCAAAGTAAACTGATAAGTTTCAAATACGACGGTGGGAGTAGTATACTACGAAAAAACGTATGTGGGCGCACGCACGAGACACGCACACAACGTGCCACATGCACACACGCGACCTGCACGCATACACAGATATGGAAATAGAGTATTATAAATTAATTCTCAGCAAGATTGTGTAACATACTAACAGCACTGTCAATGATGAACTTGGATGAATTGACTCACGATCTATACTTGCACTCAGTGGTCATGACAGATCAGAAAAGTGGTGGTCCTCAAGACCGATTCTCTTGATTTGACCCCGAGTATTTGCGTATGAGAACAGTATTTGAGTTTCAGCTTCTAGAGAACCACAGCAAGTTCAGAGCCATGGAGTCTATGGTAAATCGATTACAAAACAGTGAAGAGGCGATGAGCACAGCAGTGATTAGCCTGAAATAAGTGGGATACGGAGGAAATTGCAGCGGTAAAACAATCTGAGCTTCAAAAGCAAGGAAGACGTTGTACTTATTATAGGGGTATTTCAGGGAAGTCAATGAATTTTTGTGCTCCCCCTGGTGGTTTTATCCCCCAGAGTCTGCTCTAACTATGTACCTTTGTTAGAGAAGTTTGAGTGCACATATTGTGGTGCAAAAGACAGAGTCTGTCGTAGATGGTAAACTATGGGAACTAACTTCCTTTGGAGTATGCAAGAGAGAGTATGGTTCTTGTCGAGCTTGGAACCAAAGTGACATAAATTCTCATGTAACTAATTTAGCATCCCGGTGTAGTTTAGGAATTGAATCCTAATACTAATAATAATAAGTGCCATATCTCATAAGAGGAGGAAGATGGGGAGAAAACTACTTGCGTTAAAGAGGGAAAAAAACCATTAAAACGTGCAATAATGTGTCTTATAGGCTCTAACACATTTACCGATCATGTATTGTAAGTGTGTCACACAAATAGCCAATTACAATGTTTTGTAGTATACTACAAAAAATATGTGGGTGCACGCACAAGACACGCACGCATCACGCGGCATGCATGTACGCTACGTGCACGCATACATATCTATATGGAAATATAGAGTAGCATTAATTAATTCTCAGCAAGATTGTGTAACATACTAACAGCACTGTCAATGATCTACTTGGATGAATTGACTCACGAGCTACATTTGCACTCAAGATACATTTCAAGATTCTCTACCATATTTTTTGTGCAGGTTGAGTCGGGGGTCTCTTGGAAACAGCCTCCCTACTTCCGAGTAGGGGCAAGGTCTGCGTACACACACCCTCCCCAGACCCTACTGTAGTGGGATTCAACTGGGTTGTTGTTGTTGTTGTTGTTGTTGTTGTTGTTGTTATACATTTCAAGATTCTAAGCCAATGAATATCAGCCTCAAAAACAGCAACTTAAAATAAAAACAAAGCCTCCAAAAAACAGAAATCTAAAAACTTCTTTGCGAGCAAGGTTGTTAAACTTGATTGAATTTGGACAGTCATTAAAATTGATGAAAATGGAAGGCAGCATAATATTTGGAGGAATGATAATTGATTTGGAAGAATTTCTTCTCATACACTTGAGGACAAACTCAAGGAGTGAATGACTCAATGATGACGAGGTGCTCCCTCAACAGGTTTGAATTATTATTTCTTCCTTTCGCGACAATGATGGGCAACAACCCATTCCCAATCCATCATGTTGTCTGCATATCTAGAGATCGAATCAGGCTGGGGTGAGGCGATTACTATATAATTCAAGATTCTCAACCAATGAATCTCAGCCTCTAACACCTTTATATCAGCTAGCAAAGATGACATAAATTCCCTAAAACTTAAAAAGGGGGTCACAACCAAAAATGGGAAACAATCTCGTGCGGTGGAGATTCCTGGACGCATGACAGGTCAAAAAGTTCCCATAACAACTGGTAAGAAGCTCATACAACTAAATAACAGCAACATCATGAGCCATCCACACAAAATCACCAAATAATCTGTGCAGTTATTGAGATTTCCTTTTTTACTAAATTGAAGAAAAAAAGTGAAACCTTTGAAGAACAACGGGTGCCAAAGACAATGCATTAGTTAAATAAAAAATTATCAGTTAAAGAAACTGATGACAGAATTTACAAGAACAATAACAAAAATTGTGCTTAATAATAACAAAATCACCAAATTAAATGTGCTATTATTAAGATTTCTTTTTTTTTAATAACTTGAAGATAAAAAAGGAAAGCATTGAAGAAAAAAGGATGCCACACACACAATGCATAAATTATATAAAACTGATCAATTAAAGAAACTGATGACACATGCATAATTGGATTATTTGTCCATTGTATAATTGTAACCAGAAACTGGTTATTCTTATTTTTTAATCTAAAACCCCAATTTTCTTTATAGTTGGAAACAAAAAAAATTCCAATGCTGCCCACCATGCAAATCCATTCTCACCCCCCAAAAAAACACTTTTTTTCAAGAAATCACAAGAACAATAATGCCAATCATAACTATTTATAATTCTATTTAAAACCCAGAAAAGAAAAAGGGAAAAAAAGGAAGAAAAAAGCCATAGCTTCTTCCCCAATGAAGCAAGAGCATAGCAGCATTACACCCACAATGATGGTCAAGAAAAACCAAGATTCTGTGCAGAAACAGAGGGCAAAAAAGGGGAAAGCATGAGTCCATACCCCTCAAAAAAGCTCAACTCCTCGCAGCAATTTTTGCTCCTTTCTGGGTAAATTTTCCCCCCCTGCTCTAACTCTGTGCTGTGTACTGTGTACTTTTGCCAGAGAAGTTTTGGGTGCGAATATTGCGGTGAAAAAGGACAGAGAGCCTGCGGGTTGATTGGTAAATAATGGGAAGTTGGAGGGGCATGGCAGGGTTACTTTGGACTGCACAAGAAAAAGAGAGAGAAAGAGGGGTTCTTTGTGGAGCTTGGAGGCAAAGGGACAGAGATTCCCAAGTGCTCCTAATTTATAGCATCCCCATGTAATTTAGGAATTGAAGCCCCTAATGCTGACCTAATTGTAATTAGGAACATCATTAGTCATGATTAAGTGGAAGAGGCTGGGGAAAGAAATCATTAAAAAAGGGTATGTCCTATATACTAATGAGTACTTATAGACTTATAGCACATTCATTGCTCACGTATTGTAAGGTTGCAACTTGCACGGACCACGGAGTGGACCTACTTTCACCCTCCCTACATGTTTGTCGTATTTTAAGAACAAAATTAAAATTTTTAATTTTTTTAATTTATTTTATTTAACATTTGTGTAGAAATAAAAAATGAAATTTATATATTTAAAAGCTACTTCAAGAGTTATTTAGAATAAAAAATAACAAGATTATTTTATTTTATTAAATAATCAATGAAAATGTAAAAATAAACAAAAAAAATTGGAGAGAAGGGAGTACAAAAAGGCACAAAAAAATAAGGAGTAAAATAAGGAGTATGGAGTACTTTTCCAATGCTAAAAAATCTCTTAACAAATTTTGATCACATATTTGTGAAATTTGTATTAAATAGTACTTCCTCTGTCCAAAATTATTTGCCACATTTGTATTCTTGAAGCAAAATATCAAGTTTTTTCAATTCATTTTATTTACATATTGGTAAAAAAATAAAAAATAAAAATTACATATAAAAAAACTACATGAAAAGTTCTTCGAAATAAGAGGTGTCAATAATATTTTATTTTATCAAATAACCAATGAAAACGTAGAAATAAACAAAAGTTCTCGCGATTGTTGAAAAAACAAATATGGCAAATAATTTGGGACGGAGGGAGTACTAAAACATACTCCCTCCGTCCCAATTTATTTGCAACACTTCGAACAACGTGCAAAATATCATCTCTTTTAAAATTACTTTAATTTCAAATTGGTAGAGTAATAAAAAGTAAAAATTACATCATTTAAAAGTACTCTGTATATGAAAAGCTCTACAAAACAACATGCGACAAAAATATTTTATTTTATCAAATGGTCAACCAAAACGAGTAAACAAACAAAAGTTATCGAGAGGCCAGAATAGTAAACGTGACATTCTTTCTGGGACGGAGGGAGTATATCTTTTACTCAATGTACTACTTAATTTTTTTTATTCCTTATATAATACTTGAATAATGTCTAGTGATATTGGACACTTAGTTTGAACAATGTTTATTAACGTTGGACATTTATTTGAACAATGACCATTGGATATTGAAGAGTGATACTATATTGGAAAATAAAAACATATGGTACTACATTGAAAAAATTACTATGTTTTAATACTTTTTAGGTAAATTCTCCACTTTTTAGTACTTCCTCCGTTCAAAATTGAATTACAATTTCTCATTTACGAGGTAAAATCATGCATATTCTAAAATTAAAATCTTTAGAAATTGGTCTAAGAATATATAATAAAATTTACATATCAAAAATTTCACAAAATAAAAGGTGACAACAACATTTTATTTTAACAAATAATCAATGAACATACACAAACAAGCAAAAATTTGCTTATGTAACTTAAGAAAAAGAGCATGTGGTTAAAAATATTCTCTCTTATCAAATTTTGATCACAGTTTTTTCATTTTTTATTACTCAATCCGCCCCTAAAAATCTCTCTTTTGTGTCCTAATATTATTTTCTCTTTTTTATTAAATTTTTTTTATCCTTACTAATTTTTACTTTACTTATCACATTAGACGCACAAACACATACGGAGTATATATTAGCTAATAGTCTACTCGACAATCGTGATGATGATGGTATCGTGATTTGTCATTGACATATTTTTCTTTTTGACGTGTCATCCAGCTACAACCCGAGAATGCTTCCAATCAGGTTATTCTAAAAGGAGATGTCTATTAAAAATGCTCCAAATCTTTGTGTATTTCCTTACGTGCTTGCAAAAAATTTGGGTTTTCTAGCGCAGCTTACCACAGCCTGGGCGAGATTTGAGCAACTCAGATTATTAGTGGATCATTTGTATTTAGTGTCTTGGACATGTAACACTATTGAGCTTTCATTGCAATCCTCAATTTTACTTGGAGAACTATCTCTAGATTTTAGGAATGAATTGAAGGCGCACACTTGGTAGGAACTATCCTTGAACCACGTATCCAATGATTGAAACATGAGTTGTCTGAATGCAAACAAAAAGGACTTACCATAATAGCCTATTATGGTAAGATGAGATGATTTGAAAGATATTCATCGATTCTTGGTTTTTGTTTGCACAAATCATGCTAGGAATCTTGTTGCGGACCTAGTGAAAAAGAGGGAGGAGGAAGCCCACCAGTTCTTAATGGGCCTCGAACCCTCGATGAAAAGAAATCTATTCATTCGTAATTGTTGCAAGATCCATTGACATCTGAAAATCATATTTATAATATATTTATTCAAGAAGAATTGCTCGCAATATTGTACGAAGTATTGATGGTGATACAAAGTTAAGCATCCACATTTACCACTCAAACGAATCCAAAAAGGTGTGGCGTGTGCTAATTGAAAAAAAAGTGCATGAAGTTGACACATGCTACAAATTACATGGATATCCCAAAGGATGGACATTTGGTTGTGGATGTGGGGAGGTTCGGAGGACAAATTGTCAGCAAGTACGTCGTGTGTGGAAATACCTGCAACAGCCATTGATGATCGCCGGATGGCAACGACGATACTAGTAGTAGTTAGGCCATACACACCATGCAGGAAGAGCCAACTCCCGCAGTGGTACATTTTCTAATTTGCCTTATTTTGATCACCTCACATTGGAACATGCTTTGTCATGCGAGTTCTCTCTCTCTCTCTCTGCCACTAGCTCGAATGAGAAATTGACATATTTTTTTCTCAATCACGTTGGATTATTGACACAAAAGCTTCACAACGCATGACATACAATGTGTCATTATTAAGTGATGTTTTTTCTATCCCTCATTAAGATACTTGTTTAACAAATGGGAAACGAATTATGTCTATTCTGTCAGGAATGGCATGTTTGTCTAAAATTTAGTTTTGAGGAATGTTTGTTTTTGCCCAACATGCATTGTCATTTGATTTTAGTCTCACAATTGACAAAGGAATCTAGTTGTGAGGCTTAGTTCACACACAAATTTTGTACATTGGAGGGCCTAAGTTTAAAGACATTGATTGATGTGGATAAGCATGATGGAGGGTTACAGTACTTGTAAAGGATGGAAGATGAGATGGCAATAGAAGAATGAAGGAGAATATGTTTAATTTTTGGCATAAACCTAATGTAACGCTTGGGGCACCCATCTTCACATATCTTATTTTTAGTTATATTAGTAGGATCTAGTACAAGTAACAAGTTGACCAATAATTATCGTGACATTTGTCTGTTCTAAACAAATCGTACTACTTCTCCCATCAATATCTACAATCAAGTGAAAGTTTGTATATAGCGCATTGTGATATATGGGGGGTGGTATCGTACACTGAGTCTAAATGACTTTACGATATTTTAATTTTACTATTGTTGATACTATCCATGTGGTGTTTGGATATACTTGTTTAAATGTAAAAGCAGTGTGAGGACACTCTTTATAAAATTTAATGTCACGACTGAACGACAGTATGAGAGAAAAATTAATTGTGTTCGAAGTGACAATGGTTCTAAATTTGAATGTTTAAAAAAAGTCATTCTCATGGGATAATACACAAATCTTCTTTCGTTGGGACACTTCAAAAGAATGGACGAGTTGAGTGTAAGCAACACCACATTCTTTAATTGCCACAAGCACTTCGGTTTCAAGCTGGTCTGCCAATAGAATTTTGGAGAAATAACATCTAAACTCAATGTTTTGCCTGAAAAGATGCCATCTTGTGTGGTACTCGATTGCCACATTTGTGACAATCAATTTATCCAACCTTGTTGCTTCCCGTTCAGCTTCCAAATGTTGCTTAATCGATTAAGACGCCAAAAAAAATCATAGTTTGACTTCCTAGACTACCCTGGATCAATTCTATGAACTTTATATGTTGCGTGATGCATGGATTACACGATTTAATTATCCAAATACGAAATTGCTAGATGATTAAGTATGTTAAAACTGTGACATGAACATATGTTGATTTATGCATAAACAATATAGATTTCACAAACATATGTAAATTATTGCATATTATTTTGTACTATCTCAATAACATAATGGAAAACGGTTTTTGGAACAAAAAATCTAAAGAACATTTTCACAAGTATTTTCTGGGAGAACACTCGTTCGTGGGTGTTCGTGTCTGAGCAGTTTGTGACTTGTAGTGTCATCGGCTATTTTATGTGATTAGATTTACTTAGGTTAGACGTAAATTTTAATATGCATTGTTTACGACTTTGGTGGCATGAAATGCACACTTATTTAACAATATTACAAACTCCTGAGAGTATTCAAATACTAACACTCAAGATTTGAATATTAACATTATGTTTCTAAACTTGTCTCTTTCAAATCTTTACTTTTATGTATGAAATTAAAATTCATAAAAACACTTTCTTATCAATATGAATCTTTAATGAACTCTTTTTTAAAATCTCTACTTTTATGTATGAAAATTCATAAAAACACTTTATTATCAATATGAATCATTATGTTTGGTTCAAATCTTTTCTTTAATGTCCGAAAATTCATTAAAAAAACATTCTTATGAATATGAATCTTTAATAAACTCTTTTTAACATAAGATTTGTAGTTTACCCAATTACCCATGTGTTACTAGGAACCCGAATTTATATTTCATCATACAAATACACATTATTATTTGTAAACAAAGTTTGGTTCAAAAAATATGAAATGAAATGAAAAGATATTAGTTTTCTTTCATGCACTTTCCTCACCAAAATGGAAAGAATTTTGTTTTTTCCTCTTTGTTCATTTTGTCTTTTTATTTTTTTCCCCGCTTTTTTTCTTTTTCTCTTTAGGCAAAACAAGAAAAAATATTTTCCATCTAATTTTTTTCTTTTCCCTTTCAAATTTCATGAACCAAACATAGTGTAAAACTTGCATTTGATTAGGAAAAAGAGAATGTACTCATACAACTTTTAACAAACCACACCTATAGCACTAATAGAAACCGAATTTGGCATTGCTAAAGCCTCTGTTAAGTTGGAAATTTGCACTTTTGAATTCATAATCCATAAGCTGAAGCTTAAAGGTTGTTCTCAAACACCCTCTACTTCTACCACCTTAGTTGAAAGTTTTGTCTACAAAAAATAAAAGTAAAAATATGTTATGAAGCAATAACTATGGGTTAAGGAATTCATCACACATAAAAAGAGAAGAATTTAACAAAAATAGCAAATGCAAAAAAAAACATCCAGCAAAAAAATTGTCTATGAGAAGGGTGTGGGTAGATAGACCTTACCGAGTAAAGAGACTGTTTCCAAGAGACCCCAGGTTGTCAAAGCAACATCAGAAGCCATATATCATATATGTCAAAATTAATGGCCTTTAAAACACCAGATTTACCGATTGCTCTATTATATCACGCATTCACGCTCCATCACAAGTGATTGCTTATATTTTGCTCTAGAAAGAAAAACATGAATAAACTGTATAAATTAATTCTAAGCAAATCAATGGCAAGTCAAATTTCAATTGATTAAGAAAAAAAGGATTGCATAGCATACTTATAATGTTTCCAACGATCTACTCAGAGGAACCCACTCGTGCATTCGTAGTCTTACATTTAGGTGTTTGAGCGGATTTATTCCCCACCTTTTTTCTATGAAATGGTTCAAGCATATGGCGACCTTGGCATTTGTTAGAGGTTTTAACGTGTCCGTATGGTACCCAACTTCATCACCTATAGAGTTTGTAGAGTCTGTTTCATATTCCCCTCCTTAGTGTTTTTTGTGTCAAGTTGAAGTTACATATAGTTTAGGAGTCCAAACTTCTATTATCCTAAGTCTCTTTCTAAAAGTGTTCTCTTGATGCCCTAACATAGCACCAAAATGGCAAGTTGAAGGTTTCCATTCATAATCAACTCATTGCTTTACCACTATATCCCTCTCATTCACAAATTGTACTGCACCTGACAATGAACCAACTAACTTAGCATAAGAATTAGAAACAAACTTTTGAATCTTGTGAATTTTTCTTATGCATCTAATGTGCTAGGATCTCACTACTCACGCTCAATCTAGATGAACACAAAGAACAAGAGAGAGAAAGCGCAAAGAGAAATATACGTGGTAACATTGATGGCAGACTCCACGATAGTATAGGGCTATATATAGATGATTTTGAAGTATGTACGGACGGTTACAGAGAATATATGTTATAAAATACCTACACAGAGAATAATAAAGGTTGAAGTGCGTGAACGAGAACGGTATATTAAACATTAAATCATGTTCCACAACCTAGCATAATTTGTTGTCAATTTATTTCAGGATCTTCATTATCATTAAAGTCTGAGAAATTCTTACTTGGGATTTCATTGTTTGGACTTTCTGGTATTCCCATGATAGCTGTACAGAAATTGCCCTTATAGCTCCATACCTAACATCTTGATCTGAAATCTTTTGCATAGTTTTGTTAGATATTCCTCAAGACACGTTATCAATGGTGGATCAGGAAGAAAAAGTCATTGGGGCATGCCGGTCACCACATATAAAATGAAGATAAATTATATTATAATCAAAATGAGAATATTGTATCAAATGATTTCTCGGTTACAGCTTTCTCCCCATTAATGTAAGGATCTGCATGCATGTATGTCCAAAGTGAACCATGACCTTTTTAAAGTTCAGACATTATTGAGGTGCTCTATTTTTGTTTATGGACTAAAAGGATTGTTCATGAGATTTTTTCTTAAGCTTGAGGATCATCTTTGGGTATTTCACATAGACACGAAAATGTGAAAAGTAACCTCTAATCATTTACGGATATTTAAAGCGGATAGATATGAACAATAGTGTACCCGCATCATGTTGTCAGCTTTTATGTTTCTTGACATGGCCCCAATGCCATGCTAGAACTGCAAAAATTCCTCCAAAAGCATTAATCCATATGAACCTTTCTGCCTGTACTTATCATGTCAGTTAGGGAAACCTTAAGCTTCACACCAAATTTTATCATGCTGTTTAAAACAATTTGAGCATCGGCCCATTTCCCATCGTTCCAAAGAACCTCTATAGTCAAGTGATAGCTAGCGGAATTTGGAACCATTCCATTGTCAACCATTTCCTTGAGCAGCCTCAAGGCCCGATATGAGTTTCCCTCTTTGCAGTACCCATAGATCATTGTATTATACATGACACTGTTGGGTTCCATCTGCATTGATTTGAATAGCTTTGATGCCTCCTTCATTTTGCCTTGATCACACCAACCACGTAGCAAGACACCATATGTGTGCATATCTGCAACCAAACCGGCTTTATCCATGAAAGAAACCATTTCAAGTGCTTTATCCATGTTGTTAGATCGGGCAAAAGCGTCAATCAGAATCGTGTATGTCACCTTTGAAGGAGAGACACCTCTCTCCTCCATCTCACGGACTAAATCAAGAACTCTGTGTGGCTTATCAGATTTAGATAAACCTGCGATGAGAGAGTTGTATGTGATTAATGATGGGGATAAGCCACAGGACTTCACATGATTGAACAAGTTCAATCCTCTCTCTATCTTCCCCGATTTGCAATACCCATCTATTAGGATGTTAAAAGTGATCACATTAGGGGCAAATCCATCACTCTTCATCTGGGCAACCAATCTCTCAGCATCCGCCATTCTCGCTTGCCTGCATAATCCTCTAGTTAAGGTATTATACGTCACAACATTGCATACAACCCCTCTCTCGCGCATTTCGTCAAACAGTTGAAAAGCGGCATCTATTCGTCCCTCATTGCAGTGGAGATTGATCATGGAGCTGTATGTGTATATGTCTGGGTACGCACCGTCAAGCTTCATCCTCTCATAGAGCTCAAACCCATATCTTTTTGCCCCATTCTTGAAACACCCATTGATAAGAGCAGTATAAGTGAACTGATTCGGAACAAGCCCTAACTGTGGCATTCTATCGAACAACTCCCTTGCCTGTTTTATATTTCCATTTTTACAACACCCGTCGATCAGAGTAGTGTACAAGACAACATTTGGACACAAACCCATAGCCACACACTGTCCAAAAACCTCAAACCCCTTACTCAAATCTCCAGCCTCACAACAGCCCTTAATCACAATCCCGAAACTGTACAGATCCAAGGCCAAGCCCTTCCTCTTCGAGTCCTCGAAAACCCCCAAAGCCTTCACATAATTCCCACTCTTTACCAGGAAATCAAGAAGACAGTTGAGAGCATTCGAGTTGGGTGCCTTCATATGGCTGAAGAAGAAGACGGCTTGATCTGGTAACTGGGCCTGCACGTGAGCAGAGACGATGGATTCGCAGAGGGAAGCAGAATGGGGGAACCCAGTGTGGGCGATGAGATAGTGAAGAAGAGAAGAGACCGTGAAATGGGGGGAAGTGATTTTTCCGGCGAGAAGCTGCTGGATGAGGGATTGAGTTTGGGAGGTCCTGTTGAAGCTCAGGAGATGGTGGATTAGCGCGGAAACAGATTGGTGGGTGTGATCCAGTCCTTGCCGGATCGATGATTCGAAGCGGGAGAGAGCTTTGAGTGGTGGCAGTTTCAGAAGATTGGAAATGAGAACGGAAGCTTCGTTTTTCCTTTGCGCGGCCGCCATGGGATCGCCTGAGTTTCACTTAACGATGGGCTGAAGCCAACGAGAGACGCAGGAGCTACTTCCGAGTGAGGATGGAGGTAGGATGAAATGCTAAAATTTTAAAAACTATCCTAAATATATATTTATCTCTTTCTACGAATAAACTTTACCTTTACTATTCACAGGGTCAAACTTTATTCACTTTGTTGGCCTATTTTCGTCGCTCATTTGATAAAATAATATAGTCATGTCACACTAGTTTTGTAGATCTTTTGATATAGTCTTTTAATATGTAATTTTTATTTTTCAATTCTACACCATTTTCATATAAAATGATTTGAAAATAACTTCAGTCAAACATCGTAACGCGCAACGTAAAGTTTATTTGTGGACGGAATGAGTACTTCAAAATTATTCATATTTTTATACTATAGTACATTTTGTCTTAGAACATGATTAATAATTAAATAAAAACTATTACTTTTATCCTTGAATATAATTTTTTGCAATCAGAATTAATCTAACTCACCTCGAACTCAATAACTCTCTCACTCTGCTTGACTCGTGAAGTCGCAATCTTTTAAAATTTAGATTAAATTAAGTTCGAAAGTTAAAATGTCGAGTTCAACTTGCTCGAGGCTCGGTTAGAGGTGAGCTCATCTAAATTAGATGGTGCAATTTTTGATCAATTCAAGATATGCTTACCAAAATAACTCTTTTCAACTGAAGGCTCCTGTTGGTGAGCATATATATGATATATAACATTTGATATCTCCCAATATAAGAACTCATATCACTTCTTTTAAATTTCATAAATCATATTATATCATACTTTTAAATTCTAAAACTCATCAAACAAATCTTAAATTTTAAGACTCTAGTCTATCTTTTGTGTGTTTATTTTTTTAAATGTCCATAATTCCAAAGTATTTTTAAAAATTTCAAAAACAAAAAACAAAAGAAATATCAAACTCCATGATCTTTCAAGCCAAACTTTGATGTGTTGGAATGAACATGTTAAGATTATAAGCCAAATTCAAACATGAGCTAAATTTTTAGGTTGCATTTTACATTAGGCTCGATCGAGTTAGCCCGCTTCGCGTACTATTGTGACACAATTCAAGATTTTCATACAATCCGAACAATGTGTTAATATGATTAAAATCGTTCAGTATTATGTCACTTCGTAACGGTATGGTATCATGTCATATCAATGTTCTTGAATCAACTCGCCTTTACTAAGGGAACAGATTGAAAAATATTTGGCATATCCTTAGTCAACGGACAAATTGTTTAATAGGAGTAATAATTTTTGACAACTTATAATTTTAAAATAATTTTAAGGACTATGATTAAATAAGCTAAAGTCGTACTAAAGAAAAAGTAATTAAAAATATTGAAAATTAACAAGCGTAAAGGTATGATTAATTGATTGGATTAATATTTTAATAAAAATAGTTCAGTGTCACAGTTTGAGACCTTCAAATCCTAAATCTTGAAAATCCATTCTGCACCATTTTAATAATTAAACGATTCAATTCGTGATATAATTTACTAGAATTATTTGAAAATAACTCGATGTCATGTCTATTATGTTCAAAACAGTATTCTCTTGGTATTTTGGCAATCCCTATTCCCTACCTATTCAAATACAACCATGTTAGGGTACCTCAATTTGTACCCAAAAAAATGTACTAACATTTTAACGGTTCATACTGATACAAAATATTAGTTCAAATAAAAAAATTTGCATTGACATTTTATATCAATATAAACCATCACAAAATGTCGGTGTATGTCTTTGGAATACAAAATGGACATAACTTAACTCATTCAAACAATCTTTTTTTCTAAGGGATATGCTAGGGGTACACCAAAGGTGTACCCCAAATGTACACCTCTCCCTTCTTTACCATTCATTTTATTTTATTTTTATTTTTTACTTTTTTTGAAATTTTCTTACCTTTTTTGTGTGGTGAAGGGGGTGGGTATGTTTGGGGTCCTAGGATTATTTTTTTCTAATCCCCACTCTATTCAAATACTCCTGCATCCTCAAAATTGGAAATAATCTCCGGGCTTCTTCATTCTCCACAATTCTGCAGGGAAAAAAATATAGGAAGTACCGTATATAAATCTATCAACTCGCTGCAACCATCCCGTCATCGCCGGATTCCGAACGGCGACATATCTCCGGCTGCACGCGATTTCTTCACGGCTGCTTCGTTGTTCAAAACATCTCTGGTATGTGATAAATCTATTCTTTTTTCAGTGATTGGTTTTATTTATTAGCTTTTTGTCTCAATTACACCTTTAAATTCTAAAACCGACCTGAATTTCTCATTTCTACATCCTTTTGAGCTTTTCTGGTTCATTATAAGAGTTACTAAGGGGTTGTATGGCTAGGATATATTTGAAAAAGGAGCTTTTTGGCTAAAGGAGTTTTATTAGAAGTGTTTGGTAAATAGTTTTTTTTTTGGGTGCCAAAAAAGCTTGTTTTCAAGATTTCTAGAGCAACCCAAACATGGCCTTGGAACAACTAGTGGTGGTGAGATAGCTAGCATAAATGAATATGAAAGAATCAATCTTAATGAATATTTTTATGATTTAAATTTAAAATTTAATATTCCATATGATCAATCATTTCGGATATTATTGTTGAACTAAAATGAAATTCTTAAATGTAATTGCTTAAAAGAGCTATTAAAAGTAGTTAGTTAATATGGAGTATACTAACTATACAAAAAGATATTATTATCCTCTTGGAGGAGGAAAGTGATCTCAATGGGGAGGTGGGAAATTGGGGATTAAATTCCGCTTTAAAGTGCCACCAAAACTCCCCAAGGGTTAGAACTTAGAAACAGAAAGTACGCCCAAATGTGGGCTCGTATAGCTTTGTTTTATGTGTATTGTTGAATGCTACTTGGGAGTATATGTTATCGTGTAAGTTATGACTATATGAGAAGTTAAACTTTTATTATTTTGAAGATATGATCATTGTATGTTAATATCACTAGTTTTACCATTAAACATGAACGGGTGCTTTCACCGGCATAGGTTCAATTCTGAAAACGAGAATAAAAAGTGTGAAGTGAGACTGGGACTACGTCTGCATCATCTTCTTCAGTCCGGCAATGCTACAGTGTTTCACTGTTTCGAGTTTCGCTCCATTGACTCAAACCCCTCTCACAGGTTTCTTTTTAACTTTTTTTATCCTTGGTTATAAGTCCATTGCTATCGAGTCATTTTTTACGATGTTTTAACTTTAGGTAAATAAAAGATTAGATCAAAGTGACACATTAAACTTCTCGTGCATCTTACTTTCTTTGAAATTTTGGAAAGTAAATGCATCATGGGTGCATCATATCTGCTTTTTAATCGCAGTGGTTCCGTAGCCACTGGCTTACGGAGCCACTGCCTTTTTGGAGCACCTCCACTGGATTGCGGCAGTTGCAACCGGAGGTGCTCCAAAAAGGCAGTGACAGTGGCTACGGAACCGCACCCTTTTTAATAGGGGTAATATTACGTACACCTTGACCTTTAGGCCCAAATGAGTTGGGATTATACAGGGTCTGTTTTTGCTCTTGTCGTTGGTCATAAATTATCTTTTTGTTTGGATTAAACTCCATTTGCCATTTGAGACTTTCTAGGATTTTGATAATTGATTCTTCTCTTGGTTTTCTCTTTTGTCTTGGAAACAACCTCTGTTCTACTTCCAAGTAGGGATAAGATATGCGTACACCCTCCCTCCCAAGACCCTACTTCTTGGGTTTCTTTTGGGTTTGTTTGTTGTGTTGTTGTTTCGTTTTTTCTTTTGGTAATTCTGTTTAGTTTTTGTGTTCTTAGGTTCTTGCCCAGACAAAGTAGAATTTCTGAAGCCCCAGGTAGTCATTTCACCCATCACACCTATAATTTCTTCTTTATAATCCAACTTTAATTAATCCTTGTGTTATGAATTATATTATATGTGTTTTGAATTTAAGTCGGTGGTGTCTTGAAAATATAGCCTCTATACTTCCAAGTAGGGGTAAGTTCTGCGTACACTCATCCGTTGACCCTATTATTTCTGTGGGATTCAACTGCATGTTGTTCATGGACCAGCGAGTAAATCTTTGAGTCTGTTCTTTTTCTGGCTAAAGTTTTGTTCTTTAACTGCAGTCTATATCTAAATACCGTTCTCCTTTTTTGGCAAGACGAAATGGGATTTTCGTGTGTCTTGATAGGACACCACCCCCTCAAAGGACAAAGAAACACGGTGGTCCTCAGAATGTAGATTTTCCTCCGGTTCTGCCAAAGAATAAGAAGAAGCCATATCCCATACCTTATAAGAAAATCAAGGAGGCTGCAAGGGCTGATAAGGAACTTGCACAGATGGGAATCGAGAAGCCTCTTCTTCCCCCAAAAAACGGGCTGCTCGTGGAGGATTTGGTTCCGGTTGCTCGTGAACTATTAGAGACTTGGAAGATTTTAATCGAAGGCGTAGCGCAACTCCATCACGTTGTTCCCATTCATGCTTGTAGGTAAGATGTGAAGAGGTTTTGTTATTTCTTGATACTTCCCTTCCAAGACCAGACATATCCTTAGTGTTTCGTCAACGTTTCTTACGACTCTGTTTCCCATAATTCATTGGCAGAGAATGTTCGGAAGTTCATATTGCTGAAAGGGGTCATGAGATTCAAGATTGCCGCGGTTCAACCAGTTCCGATCGGAGAGGCTACCACTCGTGGGTGAAAGGTTCCATTAACGACATTCTCGTCCCTATCGAATCGTACCATATGTACGACCCTTTCGGTAAGCGCATCAAGCACGAAACTCGGTTCAACTTTGACCGAATCCCAGCTATTGTGGAGCTTTGCATCCAAGCGGGCGTCGATATCCCCGAGTACCCCTCACGCCGGAGGACCACCCCCGTCCGTATGCTCGGGAAGAAAATAATTGACATTGGAGGGCACGTTGATGAGCGTGCGCCCCACAGCACGTGCTCGGACTTTGACACCGACCGCGCTCTCGAAAGGTTTTGCCCGCCCGGCGAATCCGAGGGGCCCGCCGTTGCACGCAGGACCCTAGATGCGTTCGAGGGGGTGAAGCGGGGAGTGAGGGAGTTGATGGGAATGTACACCGTGAAAGCATGCGGGTATTGCTCGGAAATCCACGTGGGCCCGTGGGGCCACAACGTGAAGCTATGCGGCGCGTTCAAGCACCAATGGCGGGATGGGAAGCACGGGTGGCAAGACGCGACGCCAGAGGAGGTTTTCCCTTCTAACCACGTGTGGCACGTGCGGGACCCGAAAGGACGGCCGATGTGGAACTCCTTGAAGAGGTTCTACGGGAAGGCGCCGGCCGTGGTTGAGCTCTGCGTGCAGGCCGGCGCCGAAATCCCTCAATTGTATAAGCCGATGATGAGGCTCGATATCGTCTTTCCGGATTCCGAGGAAGCTCATCTTGTCGCCTGAAATTCTTACTCGCTAGAAGAACAGAACAAACATCTCTTACCCTTTTCATTTATATCCATCCTTCAAGTTTTTATTCAGTGTAGATAAGTTATTACATTTTTCAATAAGTTGTGCCATTAATGTACTAGTGTACAACTTGGTGTGTACCAAACAATGTACTAGTAAAATTGAAAATTTTATAAAGAAAAAAAAAGTGATGTAGCATTGGTGTACAATGTTTGGTGTACAAAAAGTATAATCTCAAAATTCCTAAATACAAGGAATAATTGAATGAAGGAGAAAAAATAATTGAAATATCCGATAAACTGAATTTCGATCTCAACGTTTTTATGTTCACTGTATCATAGGACTATATGGAACAACAGGAAAGTTTAGCCTGAGTACAAAAAAACCCATAATGAATCGCAACCTTCCAATCTCTATCCTATGTACAAAAAACTATTATCTCTCTTCACTTCCATCAAAAGTTGAAGTTGAATGAACATAGACATCCATCATGTCTATATTCATCCATTTTTTATAAAAACATCTTATATCAATAATCCCAAGAATTTGAAACTTCACCCAAATATGTAATTAAGATTGTACAACTATTACTAGTACTCCAAGAAATTCAACTTTTTTACAAGTATACTCCAAGAGAATTCTTAGAATTTTCAAGATGATCAATACGTAGTCCTAGAGTATTATGATAAAAATATTAAATTTTTAAGAGAGACAGTAAAAATTATATTATCTTGAAGTAAGTATTCATGTAAAATCTCATATTTCTGAAAGTATCGACACTATTTTTTCCTATTTTTCCTTTTTTTAGATGTAACGCAAAAAAATCATCGGGACGGTTCCATTGATATGACCCGGGGGCGCTCCGGTACCCCGTTCGTAAAATTGATGGTTCCTACCCCCGGTAAACCCCCACACTGCCCAACCCAAACACACCCCCGCACCCCCTTCAATTGCACCCCACAAGTTAATTTTGACTTTGGAGTCAAAATTTGAAGGGTGTGTGTTCGGGTCGGGGCGGTTTGGGGGGTTTACCGAGGGGGTTGGGGTAGGAATCATTAATTTTACGAATCAGGCACTGAAGCGCCCCCGAGCCATCCCATGACATGGAGTTCCAATGTTGTGGGAATCCCACCCAAAAAAATCATAATGATCAGTTAAAACAGAAGGGATGAAGTGAGGAGATCAGCCACAAGCTCATTCACCAAAGAACTTGAGACATATCTTTCCAACTCCATAGCCAACTCCCCATTCTCCACACCCATTACCCTCTCCCACTTCCACTCCTTCTCCATCACCTCAATGTACCCTCTCCTGTTCTTCTCCACCTCCCACTCACCCCAAAACCTGCTGCATTCCCCACTCACCCAACCCTCTGCTTGCCTCACCAGCTCGGAAACCGGCAACCCCTCATTGGCGGCAGCCGCCATCCCACACCGGAAAAAATCGAGGAGTAGCGAGGTATCGGTGTCGCTAATAGGTGGGCATTTCAGCTGCAGGAGTAAAGATTTTGCATTTCGTTCCACTCGGCTTTGGTCGTCGGGTTTCGGTGTGGGGGACAGGGAGGAACGGCGAAGGGGGGGTTCGGGCTTCGGCGGCGCCTCGATTTGAGTGAGGCTCTCAAACCTCTTGATCTTCCTCAGCAGTTTCTTCATGGTTTCTGCATGGGAATGTATGTAGCATTCTATAAATAACACTTTTGATTTTGGGGGAGAAAGACCACGATATGAGTAACAAATAAAGAAAGAACTAAAATAGGGCATCTTTTTTATTCCAAAATAAGAATTATTTTATCAATAATGACAACATATATATAGTACCAGATTGTATTGTAAAACATGTCATCATTTCTATTTTAGGAATAATGGTCAGTTATGTTTTAGTCATATTTTGAGTGATTTCTTTACTTTTGGACCTTAATTTTGGACCTTAATGCGAGAAAAGTTTGAAAAGTTTTAATTGAAGTTAATTATTAATATAAGGTCTAGGAAAAATTCACATCGTCATTACATTTACACTATGTTTGGTTCATGGAATTTGGAAGGAAAAGAAAAGAAAATGGTTTTCCATTAGTTTCCTCACCAAAATGGAAGGAATTTGGTTTTCCATCCTCTTAACACATTTTGCTTTATCATTTTCTTTTCCTTCAACTTTTCTTTTCTTTTCCTCTCTTACCAAACAAGAAAAAATGTTTTCCTTCTCATTTTCTTTTCCTTTCCCTCTCAAATTCCTTGAACCAAACATAGTGTTAGAATTGCGCTCTGTATTATTATTCCCAAATTCAACAAATAATAACACTCAATCCAAATTTTTATATGTTTACATCAGTATTTCCAGAAAGGATATAAAGTTACTCCGTATATCAGTGCTCCCAAGTCGAAAATGCGGTTCGATCAGCATTAAAACACTTACAAATGCTAGAAACATCGGTCTTATTTACTGAATTTGGGACTAATTATATAAATATACACAATGCAAGGTCTAGGGGGGCTAGGGGATGGGGCGAAGGGCTCAGAGGGGGTTTGAACGATCAATTTTGCGAACGGAGCATCGTAAACGCTCCTAAGAAACAGTGACAATAGAACCGCGCCGTAAATATAATACCTCGAGTAATAGAAAACTTGAAGTTTCTCCATGATAACAATATTAGAAAACAATTGCGGAGTATAATAAAAAAAAGTTACCTGGTTCAATGTTAAGTTTTGTTTGCAAAGGTGAAGATGCTTCGTCATCTTCTTCCAATGGATAGTCCAGTACAGAAACTGGACTCGACTGCTCTTTCTCCACATTACAAGTTGGTATGGACCATAGTTGTTTCTGTGATCATATATATTAACCAGTGTTAAATAAAATATACTGCAAGTAAAAGTGTTTTAGTAAAAGAAAAAAAATGAAAGAGTAAGAGTTTTAGTTGATCAATAGGATGTGCAAAACGACATGATGACCGAATTCAATTTCTGACTACGGCAATGAAGGACGATCATGCTTAGCATGTGATCCTCGCAATGTTTCAAATACACATTGCACTTTTTATTGTTCCGTGTAAGATTAAAGTTTTAATTGCCTTCTTTCAAGCCACTGTCTCTGTCGGTTCTTGAAAACTCTAGGATAGGATGGGGTTCATCTTTATGTAAATAATTTTGTTGTATTTCGTCATCATATCTTTTTATTAATTTGATGTCTGTTTTGGATCAACTTATCACAAATTTATTTTTAGGAATGCATTTCTCAAAAGAACTCATAGTAATAAAGTTTAATAATCACTTATATATTAACACTATGTTTGGTTCAAGAAATTTGGAAGAAAAAGAAAAAAAACGATTTTCTATCATTTTCCTCATCAAAATGGGAGGAATCTGGATTTCCCTCCACTTACTACATTTTGCTTTCTTATTTTCTTTTCCTTCAACTTTTTCTTTTTTTTCCTATCTAACCAAACAAAAAAAACTATTTTCCATTTCGTTTTCTTTTCTTTTTCTTTTCAAATTTCTTGAACCAAACATAGTGTAGTGCAAATGATCCATTTCACTAAATTTTCACAAAAGAATTGGGAAGATATTTGAACACATATCTTGCATCACCAAACGGCCCTTAGTCTCCTAAAATTTAATTGTCTTGAAACCCCCACAGCCCCACTACGTTTAATTTCCTCGAAGGGACGAAGACAAAAGGATCGAATTGGATTTCAAATAAAAACTGTTCCCATATTTATAAAAACTGACTTTTGCTTTATGTCGGAATGTCTAATAAAATTGGAATTCAACCACATCTACTATTTCATCATCGATCAAACAAGTCATTGCATTAATAGTCTAAGGATTGTAAAATACCGGGGTCCCATGACATTGGGAATCAATGTCACGGATGACCTGGGGGTGCTTCGGTGTTCCGTTTGTAAAATTGATACTTTTTATCTCCTAACATCCCAGCAAACCCCACACCCCACTCTGCCTCGAACACACCCCCACACTCCCTTCAATTGCATTTCCAAGTTAATTTTGACTTTAGAATCAAATTTTGTATTGCATGCTAATACAATGGAATAAATTTTTGACTATAAAAAAATATTAAAAATAAAACATTTCCTTCCCCTCCAAACCCAACAAGGTGAATGGAATGCTTCCCTTCCCATTCCCTCCCATCCATTTTTTCCCCTCCCCTACCTTCCAACCAAACATACACTAAGAAAATATCACTCCACCTTAAAGTTTTTATCAAATTTTGACTTTTTATAGTCAAGTAGGTTTAATTTTTTACCAATATTTCAATTAAAATAAATCTACAAAAAGTATGACTCAAATGTATGAAAAAACAAGATTCCTCACGTGAATTTATAATGAGAAATGAAAAATAGTGAATGGAGTAATAACAAAGTTTACGGAAGGACCAACCACGCAACACTAGCGTGACTTGATGGATTGTCCATAGAATTTTTAAAGCTGAAGGACTAACCATGCAATGTTATTATGTTAACATGACTTGAAAAACTACTCGTAAAGTGTTTAAAGTTTAAGGAATAACCGTGCATAATGCAATAACTTGAAGGACCAAAAGTAAAATTTAGCTATTTTAAAAACACTAAAGTTTAATGCTAAAACCAACGTAGCGAATTAGTATGTTTTTTAAATGCACATAAACTTCTTTTTAGAAAATGTACATAGTGAAATTTGTGGCCAAGTCAATGTGTATTTAATGTAGTTATTGTAAATTTATGCCTTTTGTCAAGAAACAATATTTTTTAGGAATTGTAATAAATGGTTTGCCTATGTCAAAGTTAAAAGACCTTCTCATATTTGAATTGAGCTGTTATTTATCACTCTCATTTGCACTAATTAACACGGAGTATTTATCATAGACCCCATTCTCTTACTTCTCAACATATTTGTCTTAAAAACGTGTCCAAATTAAAGAAAATATGCTAATTTTTATCACGAGTATATCCAATTTTCTCTAATATAAATTGTCAAATATAATAAATATATTGACTTTTGATTTAATTTAAAAAACAGCTAAAATTTAAAACATACGAAGGACCTAGTGTGTGCAAACCAATTTGATCCTTTTAATCTGCATTTTTATTTCAAATTTTAGAACACATACCCCCTTCCATGAATATTTGTGTAGTTTTAACATTTTGCAGTCAATCACGTTCAATGTTTGACCTCTAATTAAATAAAAACTATATGGTATATTAATTAGATTAAAAAATATTATTTTTGAAAATATTATAAAATGAATCTAATACAATTAGGCTCCGTAATTCAAGGCGTGAAATTGAAATTGGTGACTTTAATTCCAATTCTGGTGTTTGGTAGCACAATAATATGTGAATTTGGAATTGGTAGTGCAAAAAATGAATTGGACTTAGAGAACTCAATTCCATTGAATTCAATTCCATTGAATTTTAATTTCAATTTAATTCCAAATCCGTCAATTCTATGTACCAAACGGACCCTTAAAGTATTTTTGAATCAATATCTAAAATCAATTTTACTTGGCTACAAAAAAAGTCAAAATTGAACATATATTTAAGGACAAAAGTAATATATTGTTTTTTTAGGTTTCAAAATTCATACAATATACTGCGTGTATTAAACCCCCAAGACTCATAATATTGACTCTAATCATATTTAATTTGATGAGGGAGTAAATTTTACATGTTGTGCCTTAAGTGTACTCCCTCAAGAAAAATAAAATATGAGTGTACATTCGTGAAAATGACCTTTTTTTAGAGAGGGGGTGTATTGATAAGTAACTTATATAGTGCAATTGAAGGGAGTGGAGGGTGTATTCGGGTTGGGGCAAGGTGAGGCACTTTACTGGGGGGTTAAGAGAGGTAGGAACCGTCAATTTTACGAACAAGGCACCGGAGCACCCCCGAGTGATGACATTGCCGGGCAATGTTTTGGTAATGGACATTGCTGGGTAATGTCATGAGAATCGTGGTGTAAGTTTAAATGATTTTTTTCTAAAGTTCTAACTTCTAAATACTCCGTACATAAAAATATTATATTCAGTGATAACTGATAATTACTCCATATGTTTCCACCCATTTAGATCAAATTTGAGTACTATATTGCATACATCAAGTGACACTCTTCCATTGACATTGATTGATACCGATGGATACCCAAGATGTTATGTTTGAAAGATTAATACTGAGAGTGTGACAACAATATCTAAATATATTATTGTCAAACGGAAAACAAAATAAGTTAAGGTGGCCGGGATAAGGAACATGGATAAGTAAAAAAAATGCTTGGGGTGCCCTATCATCTTTGTCATTTGTGCCAAACTTATGTGCACCATGATAGCACTCATTCGGGGATACTTCCTCAATCCGTATAGGTCGTGAATAAAGTTTTTATCAGATTGGATACTAAATAGGCTGTGAATAAAGTTTGAATATGTGAATAGTGAGGGGAACTTTATTATTGGTGGGAGGGAATATAGAAATTACTACTTACATCCCTGAATATTTGTCCAGTTCAGATTTTTCGCGATCAATTATTTCTAACATTTGACTTAAAATTAAATAAAATATATTTTGTATATTAATAATTATAATAATATTTTGAAAATAGTTGAGATAATAAACATAAGAAAATTATTTTTATTTCAATATTTAATATTATTTTTATTTAATTTGAGATGAGTTTATATACAGAGTAAAAACGACTCTATCACTTCAACCGCTTTAAAAAGTTACATGGATCTAGGAAAATTACTTACCTGTTTGTTAGCGCGATATGCGTTGGTTACGCGGACACTTGGCCGATTCCTAACTGCTTTCTCCGCCGGTGAGCTTTTCGCGGCAACGGCGTCGTTCTGCGCCACCGTAGAGTTCCCCTCAGAACTGTAGCTCGAAGATGGCTGCGAATCGCCGGAAACTGTGGAATCGCTATTGCGCCGGCTGTTGCTCGACGAGCTGTTGGAATCGGAGGGTTTCGATATCTCCTGCGCCAATTGGTTGTAAACTTTCCACCGTTCGATTTCGCTCCGATCGATTTGTTTCTTATTGACGTTTCGTTTCAGAAGCTTCCGCGAAAAATTCGCCGGCAGAATCGGCTTCTTCGCCTTGCTCTGCCTCTCGGACTTAACCGCCGCCGCGGCGGGAGCGATGTGGAGGTTCCTAACCGCCTTAATCACCGTCTTCGAGGCTCTCTGCAAAGCCGATACAACGCCGGACGTCGGCGCCCTATTCGCCCCCGCCGCCGCGCGTCTTGCGACTGCAGGATGCTCCGCCGCCGCCGGCCTCCGCGTCGGCACATCTCTGAGGTCCGCCTCGAGCAGAAACCGAACCGTCGTGCAGCATTCTCGGCGCGGATACGATCTGAATCCGTTGGACGAGCAGGAGCTCACGTCCTCCACCAGATGATCCTTCAACAGAAGTGTCCCCGGCGACGGATTTGCCCGTGCCGGTTTCATCTCAATCGGAGATTGGACAGAACTTTAACTCGGAGAGATTTACTGTGAGAGTGAATGTTCAGTTTAGAAAGGCAAGTGGAGAAGATGAAAAGGAATGCAGAGAATAAACGAACAGAAGAAGAATTAGGGAGTACTGAAGAAGAAGGGGGAGGAGATGGGAAGGACAAAAGATGTTTCTCGCCTACCATTTCTCCCATTTACTCAAGAGATATACCCAAATTTTAATCCATGTTGAGTAATGTTCACTATTCACAGGGTCAAACTTCATTCACTTTTTTTCTCTATTTTTGTTAGCAATTTGATAAAATAAAGTATTGATGTCACTACTAGTTTTGTACATCTTTTGATGTAGTATTTTGATATGTAATTTTTATTTTTTAACTATATACCATTTGTCATATAAAATGATTTGAAAATAACTTCAGTCAAATATCGTAAACCGAAACTGGCGTTATAAAATGAGACGGAGGGAGTAAATTTTATAAAATGAATTTAGATGAAATTGAGTTTTTCAATTCCAATTCAATTTTGGCACTATCAATTCTGAATCAACATATTTTTGTACTATCAAACAGTAAATTAGAAATTGTTATTCTCAATTTCAATTCTACATTTTTAATTTTGTGCACCAAATAGAGCTTAAGATTTACTCCCTCCGTCCCAAATTATAATGCTTGTTTACTATTCACAGGGTCAAACTTCACTCACTTTCTTTTTCTATTTTCGTTAGCAATTTGATAAAATAAAATATTATTGTCACTACTAGTTTTGTAGATCTTTTGATGTAGTTTTTTAATATGTAATTTTTATTTTTTAATTCTATACCATTTATCATATAAAATGGTTTGAAAATAATTTCAGTCAAACATCGTAAACCGTTTCCGGTCACGGTACCGTACCGGTACCGTGTCCACCCCTAGGTGGATATGGTTCGTAAAAGTTCAATATTTTTAAAGAACACATACTATATAATACTTCCTCCGTCTAAATTATTTGCCACATTTGTATTCCCGAGGTAAAATATCAAATTTTTTCAATTTATTTTATTTACATATTGGTAAAAAAATAAAAAATAAAATTTACATATAAAAAAACTACATGAAAAGTTCTTCGAAATAATAGGTGTCAAGAATATTTTATTTTATCAAATAATCAATGAAAACGTCGAAATAAACAAAAGTTCCCGACACTGCTAAAAAAGTAAATGTTGTGAATATTTAGGGACGGAGAGAGTATCGTTACTAATTATTTCGTTTAATACGGTCTTGGTTTTACGATTAAACTCATTTGGTACCCTGTCGGATGTGTCACGACGTACTATGGGTCTGTTTGGGAATAATGTTAAAGATTAGTGTTGGCATTTTGAAAAGACTATTCACAGACAACATTTAGCGGTAGTGTTTTCAAAATAATCTACACCGTTAAAATTTTATCCTAAACGCTAACACTAATATTTAACGCTAGTCCCAAACGGGCCCTATATAATAACACTTTGACACTTTGAAAATATTTTATTCATACTCCCTCCGTTTTATAAAAACTTCCTATTTTGATCAAATGTAAAAATAACGAAGTGTTAAATTATGATTGACTCCCAATTTTACCCGTAATATGATGGGTAAAAGTAAAATGTGATGGATAGATTATTATAACAAAAGTTTGATATGATATGTAGGGTACAAAAAAGTAAGGGTAAAATTGGGTTTTTAATTGAAAGTGAAGGTATTTCGTTGGAAGTTGAAAAAATGGAAGAGAAAGTGTTATTTCAGAACACGGAAGTAAAAAATAATCGACATAATGAAAAAGAATTATGCACCAAAACTTTTTTGCATTGTTACTCAACAACTATATTCAGTTACAATTTTTTGACAAATCATAATTGTAGTTTGATTTTTTATCTAATAAAATTATAATTTGAGTCGTACTCTATAAATATGACTTAAACTTACTACAAAATAAGGAGTAACATACCCGGGGTATGAAAATGCATAATTAACTTATTAGTTTAATATTTTAGTAGTAACGATTTGGTTCAGTATTTTCTATTATTTTTCGAAACCTGTCTCATATCATTTTTAATTTAAAACAAACGAAAACTTACTTTTTGGTTTTGTACAGTGTTGGCGGTCTGGTTCGGTCCGGTTTAGAATAATCCCTAGCCTGTATTTTTGCCTAGTCGTTGACTCACTCGTAATCTTGAAACACATAATACTCCGTAATATTCTTTTAGTCTATTTTTATTATATTTATTATTCTTTTAGTCTCTTTTCCATGATTTAATAGAAGGCCAAATTGTAATCTTGAAACACATAATACTACGTAATATTTAATGATTATAAGAATAATAATTTTAATAAGAAGGATAATGATAATAATAGTAATAACAATAACATTAATAATAATAACAACAATAAAAATAATAACAATAATAGTAAGCTAAAGACCTTGTGGTTTTGTGACTTCACGTTAATTTTTTCAAATCGAAGGTGACAAGTTTGCAAATCATTGAGAGCAGTAACTCTATATCCTTTAATATACTGACTATGAATGAATATATATTAGATTATAATCACGTTATTGTTATTGTTATTATTATTGTTGTTGTTGTTGTTGTTATTATTATTATTATTGTTATTATTATTTGTTGGGAAATAAAACACACAACACACACAAATATCTGGGAGAATTAAGAGAGAAACGGAACACGGACGACACACAAGAATTTAACGTGGTTCGGTTTCCCTAGTCCACGGCTGCAACAGGAGGATTTCTATTTCACTTGTCGTGTCTCCTGGAATTACAAGTAGACAGCTCAATATATAGGAGGAAAAAAACTTAGGGTTACATAACATGGGCTTGGTAGTCATCAACTGCCACAAATCCAACATTCTCCCACTTGGAAGCTTGATAGTCATCAACTGCCATCCACCACGATTGCCTGTACATCGAGTAATCTTCATCTGCTCTCTTGTTGCATCGGCCCTATCATCAGACAACTGAAAGGCATGTTGAAGCTCTCCCAAGCTCCAACACATCAGTCACGGCTAAATCTGCCCCTGACTCGTCCTCGGTCCCTACCGGCTCCCACTACAGATGTGCAATGCCGGATCCTGGAACATCCTGAGAACAAACACTCTCCATACTCAGCAAGAAATTTTCTGGAGATGTTCTAATAGCTGGAATACTGGTTCTCCTGACCCACTGTCTTCTACGCAACTTGGCTGAAGCGCCTCTTGAGCTCCCACTGCCACAAATACCTCTGACTGGCCCCCTTGAACCTTTTCATGCTCGTTCATCCTGAGTCTGACCAGTGGCTCTAGGTTTCTCTCTTCCACGCTCGTTCATCCTGAGTCTGGAGTAGGGGTTTCCCGAACCAGTATAAATACTTTAGTCGTTGTGCCCACGCCTTAGAGGGGGGGGGGGTGAATAAGGCGTTTAAAATCTTTTCGGAGTTTGATAAAAACGGTGTTGGCAAATGCGGAAGCAATATATAAAACGCAGAAATAAAAGCGTAAATAAAATGCACACTGATTTTATACTGGTTCGGGAAACCCCTACTCCAGTACCTCGAGGCTCCTCCTCAAGGATTTTCGAATCCACTAAGTCCTGGCCTCTTGAACTCCGTCAAAGCACCGCACTAGTTTTGGCAAACAACCCTTGCCAATAGGATTCACTCCGAGATTTCACAACGGCTATCTTGAACCGTTTACAATGAAGATTAAACGGCTATCTTCTACCGTTCCCCCAAGGATTTCAAAGGCTATCCTTGAACCTTTACCCAAGGATTTAAACGGCTATCCTCGACCGATACAATATGAGAATTTAACGACTATTCTCGACCGTATAAAGATGTGTTTGAAGAACACAAACAAGAGTTCTACACAACGGCTTGAATATAAAAATGAAGAACAAAACTTAGCCGGTGTAGAAGGAAAGTATACTCTCTCAAAAATACAATTCAAACTTATAAATATGAGAGTATATAACTAGAAACACAAGCTCAAAGTGTGTGTATAAAAATCAGGAATTTAAGGCTCTTAAAATAGCCAAAATATTGAAAATAATTAATAAAAGGATGAACACACTTAGAATAAAAAGAGAGGATGTTTAGAGCTTTGTTTCTTGAAGAAATATGAAGGATTATTCTTGTATTTATAGTGGAAGATATTAATTAGCCGTTGGGAGGTTATTAGGGGTGATTAGAATTTAAATTGGAAATTTGCTACAGTGATTACAACGGATCCGGTACCCTTCGCGGTAGGGTCTGTACCATCCGGTACCTAGGTACCGTGACCACGGTATAGCCTACCGTTTGGGGGTACCATGTCTTCCAAAAGTTCGGTTCGCCTCTGGCGGTACCTGGTTAGGACAGGTTCGGCCAACCGTCTACGCCTACCGTCGGTGCCTAGGTACCGTTACACGGTATGGGGGTACCGTGTAGGCGGTATACCCTACCGTGTGGCGTACCGCTAGGGTACCGTGACTCTGTTCTGATTTTTCCAAAATTCCCTTAATCCTTCGTGTTTGAGTTTAAAACCTTTTAGATATTTTAAAATGTTTATGTGATGGTTTTAAACATATTTTGTGAGTGCTTTTGAGCTTGTGAATATAGGTATATAAAGTCATATCCTTACATTGGTTTCTACCTATATTCTACGCTAGTTTAGTGTTTCGACTTCATTCTTGAGTACCGAATCTTAATGGATTCTTGTTTTCCTGAAACACTTAAACAAACGTTAAGCTCTTATATTGTTTGTTAACATCAAAACATGAGGTTTAGCAAACCAAGGCTAACAACTCCCTCAGATGGTAACTCGATCATATACAACGAACCACTCTTCCTTCTGCGGCCCATGACAAGATTTCCCTTCACGACCTTCCACTACCTATTTCTGAACTTCACCTCGTGTCCCTGTTCGTCCAACTGCCTGATAGAAATCAAAATTTTCTTCAAGGCTGGAACCACTCTGACATCCTTCAAAGTCCAGAAACCGACTGATGTCTTCAACACCATGTCACCCATGCCCGCCACATCAAGAGCTCTGTCGTCCGCTAGTCGTACCTTTCCAAAGTCTCCAATAACCAGAATCTGCAATGCTTCACCGCTGTGGGTAGCATGAAATGAAGCACCAGAATCCATGACCCAGGAATCCACATTACTTTCCTCACAGCAAGTCAGAGTGACCTCCTCGTCACTCGCACAGCCTTCAGCAATGTTTACTTTATTATCATTCGGGCATTGATTCCTAAAATGCCCCACCTCCTTGCACTTCCAGCACGTTACACATGAGCTATCACGAGTCTTCGACTGACTCCTTCGTCTATTTCCGCTCCCGCTACCTCTGCTATTTCTTCTACCTCTGCCAACATGTAACAATTCACCAGATGACTCCCCAGAACTCTTTCTTCTGACGTCCTCGCCAAGAACGAGATCTCAAATCTGATCAAAGGTGAATCCATCAGGTCCCACTGAACCGGTAACCGCTGTAATCGTTCCGGACCAACTATCAGGCAAAGACGATAGCAGTAGCAAAGCTTGAACTTCATCATCGAACTTAATGCCCACTAACGCAAGTCTTGCTAAGATCGAATTCAGCTTATTGATATGCTCGGTAACAGAAGTGCCTTCTTTCATTCTTGTGTTCACTAGCTCTCTAATCAGAAAAATTGTATTCGCTGCAAATGGCTTCTCGTACATGTTAGACAACGCTTCCATAATTCCCTTCGCTGTCTTCTCCTTCAGAATGTTGAACGCAACATTCTTGGTCAACGAGAGACGGATCACGGACATTGCTTTCCGATCCAAACCTGCCCAATCTGCATCCGACATCTTTTCTGGCTTGTCACCTAAAACCACGTCCAAATCTCTCTGAACCAGTAAATCTTCAATTTGCATCTTCCACCAACTGAAATCTGTACCATCGAACTTCTCAATTCGGAACTTCCCATTTTCTGCCATCTCAAATGACTAGACGAGATACCCGGTATAACTAATTTCAGATCTTGGTAATTTCGTCAGAAAATCAAGCCCACTACACTAATTAAATTTAGCCCAAAACATATCAGCCCAATGTCCACCCTTAAGAAAAATTACGGCCAAACCAATGGAGAAAGCCACTGCCTCTCTCTTTTCCTCTTCGCAAGAAACCGCAGCGGGGAAAAACTGGGCAACAGCAGCGGCAAAATGGACGGCAGCTCGGCGATGGTGACTCTCGCTGGACAAACCCAACATTATTATTATTATTATTTTAAAAAAGAGGACGGATTTTGAAATGTCTTGCGAAATAAAATACTATTTTTCTAGAAAACAATGCAGACAAATTATACAAAACATAAAGGAAAAATTACCCAAAATAATTCCAACTTTACCCGGTCTTTCAAAAATAATCCCACTTTTCACTGTGATGCATAATAATCCCAACTTTAATGAAATTTGCCAGTTTTGGATCGCCGTTAAGTTTCTAACGGAGGGTTAACGTAAATGCCCGTTTTAGGCAACAAAATGAAAGTTGGGATTATTTTTGATGAATTTTTGTTTTTTAATTTTTTTGAAATTTTTATTTAAAATTTTTGAATTACTTTCAACCTCAATTTCTTTTTCTTTTTTAAAGATTATTTTTACCTTAGAAAAAAATAGATATAAAAAATAATGAAAATGAGAAAAATAACTAAAACCATACAAAATTAATCAAATAAATAATGCAATCAATAGAAATTAAACAGAAACTGGTATGAAATAAAATAAATATATACGGAGTGGTGGGTTTTAACATTTTACACACTATACGGAGTCTTAATGTACTACTTCTTCGGTCCCAGAGTATTTGTCCACTTTCATTTTTACACACCATCCAATACACTTCTTTAATCCATTTTATCTTGTAATTTGTATATTAAATAATTATAGAAATTATATATTGATAATCTATATGCTAAGACAAATCAAACAAAATCACACATGACTATATTTAGGCTTACACATTGAGAGAATTTGATAGTCAAAGTGCTTAGATGAACAGTTCCAAAAGTCAAAAGTGGACGAATATAGCGGGACGGAGGGAGTACTTATTTTTTAAAAGAACAAGCCGTCCGGTAAAGTTGGAATTATTTTAGATAATTTTTTCTAAAAAATAAGAAGTAAATTTTAAAAAATTAATCTTAAAATTCAAACTGGGAAAGTTCAAAAGGGATAGAAGAAGTAAAAAATTATTTTATTTGAAAGTAAAAAATCAAAGCTAGACCAATATATTAAAACACGAGAACTATGAGTGTTGTGGGCATGGCCCATAAAAGGCGATGAGAACAGAGTAACATTAATACCTTCTGGGCTGGGCCGAGCAGTTTTCAGTGGTTCAGATTATAATGATTTATTGAACAGTACACACTTGGTGGGCCAAACATTGATTGCCCCAAGGCCCTTTGCCCCTTTTTGTTATTTTTTCCTCTGCCCCACATTAGCTGTGTAGCTGGGATGTCAAGCCAAACATTTCTTCTTCAAGGGGGGCTTATTTGGTGGACACAAAAAGGATGAGGTGCTATTAAAATAATAAATACTGTATATAAATTTAGATATATATTTTTTTTGGAAAGAAAAGTTAGATGCCATTTAAATGTAAACATAAGAATTTAAATTAATAATATATATTTTTTTGGAAAGAAAATTTAGATATACGGAGTATATGATATTAAATACAAATAGTATCAAATAGTGAATTCAACTTATCTAGACGGCTATGCTGAGGTGATAATTCCTGATAACATGTTACTTCCGTCTTCTGAAGATCCAATAGCCACAATAAAGAATTCAACTTATCCAGATTTTCAAAAAATAGCCAATGAACTTAGCTACTTGCATGAGCGCACAATTTTGGCTCCTACATTGGATGTTGTCGATTCCATAAATGAATACATGACAGCGATGAATCCAAGAAGTGAGTCTCAAACATACCTTAGTTCTGATAAAGTGGAGAACTCAGATTGCAGTTCTCTCGAATTCTTAAATATGATTAGTGCTTCTAGTGTACCGAATCATGAATTAACTCTGAAGGTAGGCACGCCTATTATGTTGTTGAGAAATATTGATCATTCAATGAGTTTATGTAATGCTACACGGTTGATAGTAACCCGATTTGCTTGTCATTCAATACAAGGAAAAATATTATCAGGAAGCCACATAGGTGAAGAAGTTGTGAATCCAAGACTATCATTAACACCATCTGATTACAAGAATTCCTTTCAAGTTTCAAAGAAGACAATTCTCTATGGTTACTTCGTATGCAATGACGATTAACAAGATCCAGGGACAATATTTGAAACATGTTGGACTACTCTTACGAAAACCTGTGTTTAGTCATGGACAGCTCTATGTTGCAGTTTTAATAGTAACTAATCGTAGTAGATTGAAGATTCTGATATGCAATGAAGACAATACTCCCACAAAAACTACAAATAATGTAGTCTATAAAGAAGTCTTTCGAAATTTGTAAAACATTGATGTTCTATATCTTAAAATAATATAATCTTTATATTCTATTGTATCTCATTTTTTATCATTAAAAAATGATCTGAATTCAATAACATAAAAATGATCCGTGCAACGCACGAGTATGATACTAGTTTAAATGTAAACATAAGAATTTAAATTAATAATATACTCCCTCCGTCCCATAAAACCTTTCTCCTTTCTTTTTTCATCCGTCCCATAAAACACTTCTCATTTCTATTAAAAAGTCACTTTTACCTCTTACTTTTTCATACCATATCTATCATATCATACCTTTTTACTAATAATCTACTCATCAAATCCTACTTTTACCCATCACATTAAAGGACATTTTTGAAAATTCAATACCAAAATACACTCCCTTAAATCTCTTCAAAAAGCAAAACATCCCATTTTTCATGGGACGGAGGGAGTATATTTTTTTGGAAAGAAAATTTAGATATATATGATATTAAATCCAAATAGTATCAAATAACAAATTAAAAAATTTACACTAAATAGGACTAAAACATAAGTCATTTCTTAATGTAGGACTTAAACATTTTTATTTTCTAAATAGTACTTAGTAATATCTAATGTGAGGAATAATGTCCAGTGATGATAGACATTTACTTAAATAACAACTAATGGATTATGACCAATGCTCCTACATTGAAAAATGAAAACATATGGTCTTATATTGAGTAAAAAATCATCATGTTTCACTCCTATTTAAGTAAATTTCGCTAAAGAAATACCACGATAAATTTTGATACACAATTACGAAGTATGCAACATTCAGATAGTAAATGAGTAGACATAGAAATTCACCATTTACAAACACAATAATAAGTCATGCTGATCACCAACAATGATTGAGTATGCCCCTTTGCTGTTTTGATCTTTTGTAGATCATTGAGTATTTGAGCCTATCTTTTAATTTACTCCCTTCATCTCTAAATAAATTTTCATTTTTGACATTTTGAAGATTTAAGGGAAGAATATTTTTGTGTTGACTTTCCAAAAATACCCTTGATGTAATATATAAAAGTAAGATGTGATAGATAGATTATTAGTAAAAAGATATGATGTGATAAGTATGGTATGAAAAAATTAGGGGTAAAAGAGGTTTTTAAAGAGAAAATAGAAGTTTATTAGGGGATAAAGAAAAAACGAAAGAGAAGTTTATCTAAGGGACGAATGGAGTGTAAACCAATTGCTCTCATAATGAAATTTAATGATAACAATAAACATACAGAGTAATAAATTACTTTAAACAAATCAATGGAAAAGACATTTTATGTTACTCTATTTTGCACCCTTGGAAATAAACACAATGCTACTATTATTAGAGTTGTAAAAATGATAACTAAAAACACATGAGTTATGGAACCAGCTGATCGATTTCAACGATGATTTAGGATATGATTAGGTTAATGGTTGGAATTGTCGGTTAATTAAGCTCCCTGTGCTGAAAAAAATAATTTCTGCCTAAAATGAATTGGATGTGCGAAACAAAAAAAATTGTGGTATATATGTAGAATTTTGGGTTAATAGATGAAGTTTAATTAATTTTTGTAGTACTAAATTTTTTTAATGTTTTGCCACACTTGAATTGATGTGTCACTTAGTAAAAGTGGTGATTAGTCAATGTATAATAATTGCACTTATAAATGTGGAGAAAAAAAGAACTACTCTAGTAATTTTTTACCACACTTAATCATGTGCGGAAAATTAAATGTAGGGAAAAACCCTTTTTTCTTGTAGTGAACGTTGGGTGATTATTTTTAATAGAGAAATTTTTCTAAATAGGACTAAAACATAATGATTTTCCCAATATAGGACCATATGTTTTTATTTCCCAATGTAGGACTTTTGGTCATTATCAAGTAGTCATTATTCAATTAAATGTCCATCACTACTGGACATTATTCCTTCCAGTAGGCCATTATTAAGTCTTATTTAGGGAATAAAAAAGTTTAAATCCTACGTTAAGAAAATCATTATGTTTTAGTTCTATTTAGTGCAAATTTCACGTTTTAATAATGTCTTTTGTATTAGTTATTAGAAATAACCGATGCAATAATCTTTTTGTATCAGTTATGCAAAAGACATAAATTTTTTGCATCAATTATTAATGAGACTAGTATTACATCCATGCATTATACGACAAACATATACTCCATCCGTCCCGGAGTATTCGTCCAGTTTTCACTTTTGAAACTGTTCATCTAAGCACTTTGACTCATCAAATTCTCTCAATGTGTAAGCCTAAATATAGTCATGTATGATCTTGTTTGATTTGTCTTAACATATAAATTATTAATATATAATTTCTATAATTTTTTAATATACAAATTACAAGATAAAATGGATTAAAGAAGTGCATTGGGTGGTGTGTAAAAATGAAAGTGGATAAATACTCTGGGACGGAGGTAGTATATTGAACACAAAATCATTTAATTCTGTTCATATTGGAGATGGGTACAACTAAAGGGGC